TTTTCAACTCAATCAGACATTAGACATTTACCAAATCAACTGTTGCAGGGGAGTGCGGCATTACGCAAACCGCACTCAACGAAGCTATGCGTAATGGGATACCAGACCTGATCAGTCTGGCGTACCTGCAAAAATTGAGCTGGGGCCCCTGTGCCAGCCAGTGCCTGTGCCAAGATTAGAGAGTTTTTTCACTTTTGGCGGTTGATTCGACAACAAACAACAAGTTGTACGGTTGCCACAATCTGACAAGTTTTTGCAACATGAACAACATGCCTCTCTTTTTCCTCTTGCACTCGTACTCTTGGCCGAATCCATCAGTGTGTGTGTGTGTGTGTGTGTGTGTGTGTGTGTGTGTGTGTGTGTGTGTGTGTGTGTGTGTGTGTGTGTGTGTGTGTGTGTGTGTGTGTGTGTGTGTGTGTGTGTGTGTGTGTGTGTGTGTGTGTGTGTGTGTGTGGGTGTGTTTGTGTGTGTGTGTGTGTGTGTGTGTGTGTGTGTGTGTGTGTGTGTGTGTGTGTGTGTGTGTGTGTGTGTGTGTGTGTGTGTGTGTGTGTGTGTGTGTGTGTGTGTGTGTGTGTGTGTGTGTGTGTGTGTGTGTGTGTGTGTGTGTGTGTGTGTGTGTGTGTGTGTGTGTGTGTGTGTGTGTGTGTGTGTGTGTGTGTGTGTGTGTGTGTGTGTGTGTGTGTGTGTGTGTGTGTGTGTGTGTGTGTGTGTGTGTGTGTGTGTGTGTGTGTGTGCGTGCGCATTTCTCTGGTTTATGAGATGAGGGGTTCACAGCCCACTCGATGGGTACTTTGCATATTCAGCTGAGCCGTTCAACCATTTGGCACGGGTGTGCAGCACCGTTGGCATACTGCAGGCAACGAAGCTATTGCCAAAGGTGGGAAGGGATCAAGGACGCTTAATCCCGTACCTGCAATCGAAGTTTGTGACATCTTTCTCGTACAAGCTGTGTATGGTTCCATCCTGTGACGTTTTCCGGTGCAAACATATTATCTACATGTAGCTCAGTTCGACAGCTTTCGCTTTTGCTCACATGTACGGTCGCTGCAATCTGTTCCACACACGCAGGCTCGACCCGCATGTCCCAACCACACATCGATGGAGTACCATGAACCTGCCGCAAGCCTTTGTTTCACATCAGACAGCTGAACGAGCGAGCGGACACTGATCCGACTGCTCGGGTGCAGTGGTGCGCAAAGCATCTCCATCAGAGCATGGTGGGTACGCACGCCTTCTGCTATTTTAAAACCTTTTACCAACGTTACTTTGTTCATCCCTTGAAACACACGGCGTGAGCTTTGCGATTGTCTCCCGCTGACACAAATGTCTTGAACCGTGGTACGACCTACGGAGAATACGCAGTGAAACGCTTCACATGGGCATAAGCACTCAAATGAAATGTTTGTTACGCCCTCATCGACTCAAGTAGCGGTTTTATAGATTTCATGCCATAGCATTCAAAGGTTGCTAAGGCAACCGCATGGTCCCAAAAGTATATGGGCAACTCTTATCACATGATTGATAAATGAATCCGGTATTGCCCAAAGATATGTGAGCAGATAGATATTTTTGCCGATCAAAAAGATCGCACGTCTCATCACTCAACAATATAATGTTGCATAATAGTGTCGAAAACAAAATTCGCACGATGCGCTCGGATGTTTTCTCACGGCCACGCCGAGAAAGTGAGAAACGTACGAGTGAGGTCAAGCCTAAGGCTTGACAACAGCATTCAGCACTCAGAGTGCTGAAAACCCGATGCACAACTGATGTGCGGCCCTCTTCTTTCCCCCTTTCACCTGGCTGGCACATCTGTAAAAGCAACAGCTTTCCGACTGAGCTGCATCACACGTCTTTCAAGAGCTCAAAAGAGATCGGACACTTGGGTCGATCCCTGGTCCATCGACCGAGGTAGGACAAGTCATCGCACGCGAGGGCGTATCAGCACAGTTGCTTGCGCTGGGAACTCGGTGGCGCATCAAGCTGGGCGCGGCTTTGTCAGCCGCCGCAAGGTGCATGAGGAGCGACCTCCAAGTGGAGTCCGATGAACTCCAGTTGATGCAAGCACTGTGCACACCAGTGTGGTCAACGAAAGCTATGCACCTCGCCTCATTCAAATGGTCAGCCCACAACCATCGAGCTATGAGCACAGCGTACAACTCGGTTTGCCCAACGATGTGTTTGCACGTGGATGTCCACACTTTCACCTAGCTGTCTGGCACATGGCATCCAAACACTCGGGCCTCACGACCGCCATGTTTGCCTTGAGTGCCGCCTCTGCTGGAGCAAGCTCTTCGGCCCAAGTACGCCGAAGCTTGAGTTTATCAAGTCGAGTACGGAGCACGGACACAGGTCCCTCCACAAGTATCTTGAATAAGGCTCTGACCATGCCGTCCGCTACATCAAAGGGGTGCTTGAGCAATGATGCCTCACGTAAGAACGTTACCTCTGCTTGCTTTGGGCTGCACTTCTTACAGCACTAGAATAAAAAGAGGCTCTATGCACAGGCTGAACATAGTGCAGAGCACGGCAGAACGAAGGATCCGACGGCACGGTGTCTCGGAGGTGACGCAGTAGACACTTCAGGCCTGAACAGAAGAGTGTGACAGTGAGGAGCCAGGAGCGTGAGTTCCGGGCGCGGCGCTGTGGGCGAGGACACCTCCAGCCAGAGTGGGGAGCGATAGGTGCTCCGCAAGAGAGCTGAGCGGCAGACACCAGGCGAGGACTCCTCGAACATTGGTGTACAACCAGAGAGGGTGACAGTAGGACATGAGCAGCAACCCGAGCAACCCGCAGGGACTGAGGGCGCCTCAGCCAGGAAGTCGCTGAGGAGACAAGCACCCTGCCCATTCATCCGACAGGACAGCCAAACCGTACTAGGGACCCGACCTGGTAGACAAGGCCACGATGTGGAATCCGAATCACAAAAAAGATCCTGCTGCATTAGGCAACATGTGTGTACGTGGGGTACAGGTCGCCAGATCTGCGAGCACGGCAAGCAGACCAACAAAGCGCAGCCTGTTTGTCCTGCCTGTGTCGGGAGACGTCCTTAATCCATGGTTTCGAACAACGGGGTCCCGGCAGACCTGAGTGGAGCAGTAGTGGCCCTGCGTCATACCTGTATAGCTGATGTACGAGCCGTGCCCTTCGTGAGGTAAGCCGATGAACGAGCTTTTGGGGAGCAGCTGCATGCCGCCAAGTGGGCCGTTTGAAGCATGAACATGCTCTTGGCCACCGACGGCATTGTAAGCCTGAGCTGGGCTGTGCAACGGAAAATGCATAGCCCTGCTGGACTGTGGTCCTGACTTGATATGCCTGTCATTACCCTGCTGTCCTGTGCAGCCAGACAGTGCAAGTATAGCAGAGAACACGAGCATGGACTGCACAATCCTGACTATCTGGCCTGCTCGGGTGCACAGATGTACACCATTGACTTTGTTCGTCTTGCTGGTCTGGAAGAAGTGACCCTGCAGATCAAGCCGTCGTACCATAACCTTCTGGACAGATGCGTCCATATGGGAATCCAGTGCAGAGGCCATGGCAACACCGACAGTAATCAGCTGTGACCGTGAACGCCCGACCCAAACGCCAAAACAAACCCGAAGACCCCAAAGCCCAAGGGAAAGGGGGGTAGGAAGAGGTAGCCAGATTCCTTGCGAGTCGCTGTGAGCCTTCATACATACATACATACATGCGTGCATGCATGCATACATACATCTCTCTCTCTCTCTCTCTCTCTCTCTCTCTCAGTCGCGCAGAGCGTGTCCACAAGTGAGACCGCTCGTCAGCAGCCCTGTCAATGGGACTAACGTGCGGGGAAAACATAGAGTCGGCGGAAGCATACAGCTTGGGGAACAAGTTCCGGAAAAACTACATACACGATGGACATGTCTATACAGGGCTCTTCGCTACCCTTTTCGGGTGAGACGATGGCAGGAGTAGGGTAAATTTTCCGGCCACCGTGGGGAAAAGCTTAGTCAGAAAGGACGCTTCTAGAGTCGCTGGTAAAGCTCACCCGACGCACAAGGGGAATTCGTGACCACTCGCCGATAAAAGATGGATCACCTGATAAGTCAGTTGACGTTGGTGTAAAGCGTGGGACGGCCGTGGTCCCCCGGTTCGCCTCATGTCGGCTCCCCTGGACAGCTTTGTGGAATACTTCAAACGGGGCAATTGCTAAGTTGGAGTCAATGTCATCCAGTGGGAAGTTGCTGTGCAAGCTTTGACAGATCATATGTATGGTCATCCAGAAGTGTGTCCCGTCGTACGGTGTAGACATGCACCTGCAGACCTGACAGTCTGATGGGATGTTCCAGAGGTTTCCGGTTGCGTCATTGGGAGCCACCGGTCTCCCATGCTTGGCAAAACACGAAGGCAAAAAGCGGCAGGGTCAAGTGGAACAAACGTAGGGAGGCACACCACTCCCACATCGGTCTGGAAATAGAGTGCGGGATGACATTCAGACCCACATAAAACCTCCAGAATAATTTGTTGGAAAGCGTGATACCAGTCGAGGTTGATGGTCAGGTGGGAAAAGTCTAAGGAGAGCCCATCCTCCACTGATAATCTGATCATCGTAGCGGTGGAATTGAGTACCGACCTGCAGTGGACGGTCAGGCGCATGTGCTTGTATTGGCAATCGGCAAGAAGTCGTAATGTCAATCACTGCGGGACATAGTGGCAATCCTGCGGTTCGCGCGAAGCTGGTACCATGGCGGCACGGATAGGGAAAGGGACGATCCACGCTGTCTTGTGCCAGAACCTTGCATACATACATACATACACTTGCATATTCATATACATACATATGTAGATATAGATATCATATGTACACATGGTTTTCCCTTCTTCATTCATGGATCAGATCGATTTAGTCAGTCAAGCCGTTTGCCTGTCAGTCGACTGGTTGCTTAGCTAGCTAGACATAGCATATCCATCAATCTCTCTGTCCCTCTCTCGCACCATATCCATCTCTCGCTGTCTTTCTCTCGAGGCTCGGCCTCGTCATCGAGCTTTTGGTTCATCTCCTCGTTGGGATGCATGAACTTCCTATCCAACATGTCCACAGCAGGCTCCTGGCAGCTGGCATGCGGTTGTGCTTTCGTTCGCAGCTGCTTTCTTCGCTGTTTTCTTTCTTGCTGCCTTTCTACGGAGGTTTGCAGGATACAAGGTTGCGGCCGAACTTTGCAGAACCAACCCCGCTGCCCATGTTCCACAACATTTGCCTTCGGCCACTAGCTTCCAACTTGCGTCTGCTGGTCACTTCAAAACAGGGCTGACAAGTTAACAACCAACTGAAACAGTGTAGTTCGTGGTGGGAAGGCTTCCCCACGGAGCCCTTTTGCGAAGCGCACCGAGACCCTGGCTCGCTCTTGTCTCTCTATCTGCCTCTCGGTCAATCTCACTCTCGATCGCGTGTAGCACACGAACGTGCACATCCGAAATGCAACAGTGTGGGGTGACAAATGGCCAAACATACCAAAGACGACAAGGTTAGTGATAGACTTGCTTGACAGGTTCCTCCCATTTCTAGCCAGGGAGGAAAAGAAATCTGGCTGAAGCAGGGGGGTCGTCTCATGTCTCAACACGTGTAGCCGTCCTGTGGCAAGTCCATCAAACCTGCCGCATCTGCTGCAGGTGAGTGAGGATACCTTCCGCGATGAGGCCGTCCGGCAACAGCAGCTCTCCATCGGGAAAAGAAAGGGCGGAGCTTGGCGTTCTTCTCCTGTACTTCCTTTTCCTGCTTCGTCGCCTGCTTGGTCTCACCTGTCCACGAATCTTGCGGCTCCGGCTCTTCGCCTGCTTCAGGTCTATCTTGCTCGCTTTGCTCCTTTTTAGGCTTCGTTGCATGGAAGGCATCGACCACGCCAGCATCGAACACAGTCCTCTGGCAGTCCTGCCAAGAAGCAGAGAGATCGCGAGGTGCTTCTCCAGCCCAAAGCTCCACTCCATATGTAGAATCCTGTTTGCCTTCTCGCACCGCTTCCCCTTTTAAGCGCCTACCAGGCACTGCAAGTTTGCATGGCGTGCTCTTCTCAGCGCTATCAACCGTTCATCTAAACACCTAGGCATCTACCCACCATCAACGGGGAGAAGAAGAGAGGACAGGAACGGTATGGAAGAGCTTGAGCGGAACTGGAGGATGTCGAAAAAAAACTGCGCAAACCCTCTGCCCTGTCCTGCCTCAGTGTCGTAGTCTTGCCTGCCCGTCCCTGCCCCACGAAGCAGAGGCGCACCACTGGCAGCGGAGCAAAGCCACTGCGCTGCCATTCATCGAGATGTACCCGGAACTCCTGTGTGACGTCTTTTGCAAACTGAGGCAAACGAGAACAGACAAAAAGCGACCTTCTAAGAATTCTCAGATACTGATACTGGTGATGCTGTCTACGATTCTCGACGGAACTCAAAACAATGAAACTGATTCGCATCAACTGCATGCTTGGACGTTAGGCACTTCGGGAGGTAGGCAGGCACACGACCCCGAGATATTTTGGGGGCATGAGACTACCGCTGTGGACCGTCGAATACGTTGCTTCTGCAATTTACTTCTGCTTGCCTCTTTTGCAGAAGTTCGCTTGCCAGCTTGCCAGCCACAAGAGCCTCGAAGCATCCTCCGCAAATTGTGAGCTGCATTCAGTTCCGATGCGTTTTACCACCTTATGCCTGCTAGCTGTTGCACCCCTCAACCCAGCCGAAAGTCGTCCCTCGAGTACGATTCAACCATCGACCCCACAAGCAAAAGTGTCGATAAAATCTTGTATCCCAACAGTACTTCGGCCGTCTCGTCGATGTGTCACCGAACGTCCAGCTTCGAAACAAGTAGCTGGGCTGCTCATAGCGCAATGCCACCAGTCTTCTGTCGACGCATTCGTGTGGGGATTTCTTGCATCCATCATGCTCTAGCAAAGGCAACGTGCGGGTTCCCGGTTCGAGCGCAGTATCCACGTTTCTGTCGATGCTTACATACCTGCGCGTACATTGGGCAACGCGCTCGAAAAGGGAAATGCATGGATCTCAAGCGAGCTTTGGTGGTCTGGATTGGCAGGGGCACAGCGTGAGCACACTTGGGAATCGATCGAGCGCTTGAGAGTGTTCGCAAGCACAGGCGGGAGCCAGAGCAGGCTGCTGCTTCGTACAAGAAGGTTGGAGGAGCTCCCTGTGTTTCGTTTTCGTCTTGTTCTCGAAGGCACATCTCTGCATAAGACACATTGGGCAACAGTCCCAGAAATGAGCCTCTGCAACCGACCGTCTTGTCTGAAGCATCTTGCGCAACGCCTGGCATGGAGTCTAGGCTCCCCAACATCCCATGAATAGGGTATCCATTCTCCTCTTACTCAATCTTGATAAGGAGCACATACGAAACCCTAGTACAGTGAAACTCCGCCATCGGCGCCGTCGAAACACCGGCCTCTTCTTGCTCTTTGGGGATGTTATTGCCGAAGAGCCCTACGTGCATGATCGTGCTGTTGTTCCTTAGCGCCTCAGCCCAGGCCTCACAGGGAAACAAGCCAAGGATCCTCAACTGCGCCGATCTCTGAATCACCGGGCCTGGCAGCCTTTGGCACCGATGCCGTTGAACTCGAGGCTGATGTCCGTGATCGTAGTGTTGCTCTTTAGCGCCTCTGCCAGTGCCTCGCGAGGGAAAAAGCCGAGGCTCCAAATGCACCGACCTCATCACCGGGCCTGGCAGCCCATGTCGCCGATGTCGTTTGAGTCGAGGTTGACATGCGTGATGGTACTGTGGCTATTCAGCGACTCTGCGAGTGCCTCACAACGGCAAAGGGCGAGGTTCCAACTGCACCGACCTCACCATCGGGCCTGACAGCCCGCGTCGCCGATTCCGTTGTAAGCGAGGTTCATGTTCGTAAGCATACTGTTGCTTTTCAACGCCCCTGCCAGGGCCCCACGGGGCAGAAGGCCGGGGCTCGACAAATGTGCCGACCTCTGAACCACCGGGCCTTGCAGCCCTCCACGCTGATACCGTTGTGGTCGAGGGCGATGTTGGTGATCGTATTGTTGCTTTTGAGCACCTCTGCTAAGGCCTCACAAGGAAACAGACCGAGGCTCCACTGCGCCAGCTCTGAACCACTGCGCCTGGCAGCCCTCGGCGCCAATGCTGCTGAAACTGAGCTCGATGTGTGTGATCGTACCATTGTTTTTCAACGCCTGTGCCAGTTCCTCACAGGAAAAGAGGCCGCGGCTCCACAAATGCAACACCTCTGCACCAACGGGCCTGGCAGCCCTTGGCACCGATCTCCTTGTAATTCAAGTCGATCTTTGTGATGAGACTTATTTCGCGGAGTTGCTCTGAAAACTCCTGCCAGAGGGTGAGTAGAGGCCTGCAACTCTCACGTCTGTGCCTGGCACCATCTTTGCATTCTGGGAAACTCCACGATTACATGTGGACTTGCGGCTAAAGCTGGTCTGCGTGGGTTTTGGGAGACATGGCCAATACCGGATAGCTGCCAAAACAGCTCGAAAAGAAGGGGGCTCAGGGCTTCTTGGGGATACCTTCGGGAAAATCCAGGATGCATCAGCGTGCGGGCGCCTTCCTCGACTGCCGCTGCAGATCGAACGTCCTGTCCATCTTCTATGGAGTCTGGAGCCGGCCTTGCGGAGCAGGCTCAGAGTAATGTAGGGGGCCTTAGAATAATACTGGTAATTATTTAGACTTCTATAGTAGATGTTCGAACTTGATGTCGAGCCGGTGTTACAGCGCACGCAGCCAGGCTAGAATTCCAGGCCGCTAAGGGCTCCGTCATGCTGCTACAGTCAGCATTGCTCTCCACTCTACCGCTACTACTGCTGCAGCCTGCAGTGAAACCCTCCAAGCTGACAGCTTGAGGCTGAAGAGCTTCAGGGTCTCCATGCAGGTGCCACTCTGCAGGGCCTCGCCAAAGCAAGGAAGAAGCTCTGCAGATGGCGTTTCTTCATTATCATGATGAGTGGTATTGCATTATTAGTACTATTCGCATTACTATCCTTGATGGTTTTACCAGTATTGTGCCTGTTATGATGATTAGACCTGTTTTGAAATCACATGTAGTGCTACTACTATCAGTAGCACTACTATTGCTGTGACATGTGTTGTTATTGCTATTATCGTTGTCATGGTTATGGTTCTTGCTGTTGCTGCTGCTATTGCTATTGTGACTGTAACTGTGATTGTTATCGTTATTGCTATTGCCATGGTTGTTGTTATTGTTACTGTCCTTGTTATTCTTATTGATATTCTTACCATTTGCTCTTGTAATCATTGCTCTTATTGTTGCGAAACTCGCTCTCATACCAGTACTGTTACTGTTACGTTTATCTATTTTTTTACTGTTGCTGTACGGTTCTTGAAACTCCCACGACCCCGAACACTCTCACCATCCAGCTCAAGCAAGAAGAGAAGCCCGAGGCTGTGGAATAGAGAATATGATAGCCTATACACCCAACGTGATTCACTGGTTTGACTTACATTCCCAAGTTAGATTCACTGGTGTGACTTGCAGTGTGTTTTTGTTTGAGAAACCGTCGAGTAGGAAGTACCAGTGTCATGATTCGAAAGCCCTGTTTGGAAACACTGGAATCTATGTCCTGTCTTAAAGCCTAAACCCTAAACCCCAAAACCCAAACCTTCTTGCTAGCAAAGTGCGGGTTCTCTGAAGGCTTGTCTTGGGCCCAGAGCTGGCGAAGGGCGCAAAAACTCAGAAGTACATGGCTCTGGCGGTTGTTGTGAGCTCTTGTTTTCAAGGATCATGCTTTTGGTGAAAATTGGCTCATGGCATGGTCTGCTTGTAAAGACCATGTGGGGCTTTGGGGTTCAAGTTTGGGGATCTGTAACTTCAGCATTGACAGTTTCGATCAGAATTCCAGGCCCCCTGAGCATCTAGGCTCCTACATCGGGCCTGGATTATGCCAGCGCAACTTCCGCTGCAGAACGTGCCCTTCAGAAATGAGCCTGTATCTGTATCTGAGCCGACTTTATTGCAGAATTCGCATCCAAACAGACTCAGTGCCTGTGCCAGGCAGCACAACGACAGAGCAAATCACAACGCCGCATTCCCTCGTCCCAGCGACGCGTACCTACCTCTCATAGTAACATCATTCAAAGACCTGAATATGTAACAATTTAGTGTGTGTTAATTGGCACGGCCTCCAGGGCTTAAGCCCCATTTTTCTCCACCCAACCATTCCCAACCCAAAAAAGCCGTGCCCCCTTTAGACACAGTTCGCAAAAGAAGCTGGCTACGATTGCAAAGGGCAAGTGGGGCTCAGGGCGTTGGATTTCTGTGAGGTTGAGGCTAGAGCAAAGAATTAGGGTTTAGGCTCCGGCATGCTTCCTGCCGTGGCGAGAGATTTGTCCCACGAAGCGCTCAGCCTTGAGACGTGTAGGTTTCAGGAGATGCTGCCTAGCAGGCTGTGGTACACTCTGAGGATCCCAAGTCTCAACCCCCCTAAAGCCTAAACCCGAAACCCTAGACCCCCCAAAACCCTAAACCCTGTGTCTCGACGAAGCAAGGACGAAGAACCCCAGGAAGGAGTAAATTCGCAACTTCAACACTTCAAGCCTGGAAGGTCAAAGCATCGTGCCTGGCGCCGGCGATGGATTGAGGGGAATCATCCTTGGGGCTTAGGGTTTAGGTTTTAGGATTTAAGACACAAGGGCTTTTTGGGGGCTTGGGGTGTGGTTTAGGGCTTCACTCTTAGTTTCAGCACTTTGACGCCACCACCTCTCGGCCTTGTCCACCAACAACCAGCTGGAAAGCACCGGATGCCCTGGAACCCAAGTCGAGCGAATTATGGGTTTATGCTTTATGAGGACTTGGGGGCACTACGAGGCAGCCGCGTCTGAAGGTTTTCCGAAGCAGACGGCCCGAAATCCTCAACCCTTAATTGTCCCCAAAGCCTCAGCCCTTAAGTGCCTTGACTACTGATTTCTTCGCTGCTAGGGAGAAATATCGGGCATAATACGAGAGGCTTAATAATGAGAACTCGTTCTTGGCAGTACATTATAACATCAATATCTTCTGGAACCCCGAAGACAAGTATGGGAAAGCAGTCAGGCCTGTACACTATTGAGCTCTCGGGGGCGGGGAGGAGCTGAAACGACACTCGACCATTCGCCTCTCAGGGCGTCTTCGCGGCCATGCTCAGAACAGAGTCTGCAGCGCTCAATGAGATCATTGAAAGGCTCTTCAAGTGTGCCACGGGCAGTCCCGCACAGCAATCCTAAACCCAAAGCCCCAAACTCTAAACCCAAAGCCCTAAACCCTCAACCCGAAACCCTAAACTCGAAACCCTAAATTCTAAACTCTAAGCCGTGTTTTCGCGATGAGGCAAGGGATTCGCTCGCATGCGAGCTTAGAGGCCGATCGTGCGCTATCATCCCAGCACAAGACACTTCTGACACAGAGCGTGGCGGTCTGAAAACCGTATTTGAAGCAGCACAAGTAGTGGTGGTAGTAGTAGTAGCAGTAGTAGTAGTAGCAGCAGTAGTAGTACTAGTACTAGTACTAGTACTAGTACTAGTACTAGTACTAGTACTAGTACTAATACTAGTAGTGGTACTAGTAGTAGTGTTGTAACAGTAGTAGCCGCAGGAGCAGGAGCAAGAGCAGGAGCAGGAGCAGGAGCAGTAGCGGTAGCAGTAGTGTAGCTGTAGCTGTAGCTGTAGCAGTAGGAGCAGTAGCAGCAGTAGTAGCAGTAGTTGCAGTAGTAGCAGTGGCACCAGTAGCAGCTGCCCCATCACACTCTCAATGTCAGGACTCGTGCAGATTTCTTCGGGGCCCTGTTGGCAGAAATGCAGTACTCATTCCAAAAACTGGTCTTCACAGTCTTCTTTCTCTTGCTGTATCAGGACTCCTTTGACACCCCTGGTATGATTCCTAAGGACTTCCTACGAGAGCACGCAGACCGAGGTCCACTTCGGAAGCTCAGCACCGGCATCCACAAGCAGCTGCCGGACCGAAGCATGACCGTTCCTCGACGCTTCCATCACAGCTGTGCGGCCTTCGACATCACGCGCATCTTTCTGGGCACCGGCTTCCAAAAGCAGCTGCACCACCGGAGTATGACCCCTCATCGAAGCTTCCATCAAAGCTGTACGCCCTTTGAGGTCACGCACCTCCGTCTGGGCGCCAGCTTCCAAAAGCAGTCGCACGACTGGGGCGTGGCCTGTCTGTGCTGCAACGAAGAGCGGGGTGCAGCCATCGATGTCACCCAACTCCTTGTCAGCCCCGGCTTCCAGGAGCAACTGCACAACATCCGCATGGCCGTCAGTTGACGCTTGTATCAGCAAGGTAATGCACCACTTGCCAGACTCATCGTCACAAACATCCGGGTCCAGCGGAAGCTGCAGCAGCCTTTCGACCTGTAAGCTTCAAGAAGGTTCCCTTAGAGATATCGGGGAGATGGAGCATTCCTGAGCTTGCAACATTTCTGCGAGGATTTCTTGTCTGCCCGCCTCGGTCACATTGCAATCACTTGCCGCGTCATAGAGATCTTCTCGCGCCTCCACAACCTCGTTAAACTCCATTATCACAGCCTGCAGATCCATCGCGGAATCCAACTTGACGGCGTCATGCAAGGCGACACCATCATGAAGTAGCCGCTGCCTAAACCGCGACGGCAGGCCGTGCTGCTGATTGAGTCGCTGCTTCAAGGCCTTCAGGGCTCCTTTCCTTTACGGGCTCCTTGATCAATTTAATAAGTAATAATAGTAATAATAGAAATAAAAGTAATAAAAGCAATAATAGTAATAATAGGATTAATAGAAATGGTTCCTGAAAGGCCTCCTTTCATTTAACGGCTCCTTTCCACTAGGACTTCAAGGGTTCTAGAGGTTTCTGGGTCCTTCTAGGCCTTCACGTCGCTCAGCTCGCTGAGAGGAAGCCTCGCGAGCTCCTCCCCTGAAAGCAGCGAGACGCGCAGCATGGCTCGCCCATCCCCCGATACGGGAGTTTCCAAAAATTAGGGGAACCTTTCTTTCGGGTCCCTAACAAGGATCCTACTCTTTAGGGTGCTAAAATAGAGTCCCCTATGTTCGGAAACTCCGATATCGCAAAGCTGCGTCTCACTGTCATCACCGTCATCGCAAGCCCTGAAGTCACTGCAAGTCGCTGAAGGCCCCGAAACCTGCGATCCATGGCAAGCCCCAGAGCCGAGAAAGTGCGGTGTAGGGCCTCGCTCGGGCCCCGGCTGACTTGGGCCCAAGTTCGCCGCCTGATTTAAAACTCAGAGCCCTAAACCCCAAACCACAAATATCCCTAAACCCCACCAAAACCCAAGACCCCTAAACCCTAAAATATCCCGAAACCCTCAAATATCCCTAAATCCGAACTTCTAAAACCTAAACCCTTAAAACTCAGGACCCTAAACCCCAACAGCAACCCTCGCAGGAGCCATAAGAGTCTCAACTGTAGGCTGCACGGATACCGTGGGAAGTAAACCGGAATGTACGGGGCCTTATTGATCCGCCTTGGCCTCGGCCGGAGTGGTCAGAGGTTCCTGTTGCGACTCCCTCTGGTTAGGGGTTTCAGGGTTTAGGATTTAGGGTTTAGGGTTTAGGATTTAGGATCTAGAATTTAGGGTTTAGGCTTTGAAATTTAGGGTTTAGGGTTTTAATCCCCTCCCCGGTGACGCCCCTCTGAAACAGTCTTCTACGCCCTCTGACAAGGGGCCAAGCCCGCCCTGCCGCCCTCGTCTCCGGAATCGGGCCCTAGGTACTTAAAGGATCATGGGACTTAGTAACTAGGGTTATAGTTAGGGTACCTACACTTATAACTACTTATAATCCTAATTAAGGTACGTACAACTTTACTTACTAAGTCCCATGATCCTTCAAGTACGCCACCCCCCACCCCCCACCCCCCCCCCTTGATTTACCCCACCCCGCCCCACCCCGCCCCCACCCCACCCACTCACCTGCTTCAAGCACAGCCGGGCCGAGGCGGACGACGCCAAGCGTTTTAAATTAGAATATTCTTCCTTGTAAGGGTTCCTTTAAAAAGGGTCTTTTAGGCTTCCATCAAGGCCACTACAAGGGTTTAGTACAGGGCCTTAGTAGGTAGAATGGTTTTCAAGGAGGGTTTCAAGGTATATTATACTCTAACGAATAAGGAACTCCATAATAGTATTGGTAACTATTTAGGCTCCTACATTACTCCCTGAAGGTTACAGCTCAATACACAATGACTCCTTCAATCCTCAAAACAGAATGAACGGATCTTCCAGCAAGAAGAAAAAGCCACACAACTATCCCCTAAACCCTAAACCTAAACCCTCGGCCCCAAACCCTCGGGAATCGACCATCCGCCTCTCCATTCTCCAAACTCCTGGCGCATGTTTAGGGCTAGACTTTACGGCTTAAGGTGTAGGTGACTTTCTGTTTTACAAAGACTCACTCTTCCACCTGGAGAGCATCAGAGCTATAGCCGAACTTAGTTGAGCAATGCATGCAGACTGCCACCACAACAGTCTCATGGGAACAGGGCAACTTAAGGGTTCTGTACTCTACATGGTTTAGGGTTTTACAAAACTATCCATATTTTGTACTATATAGGGGCTCGTTTCATCTCATAAGGACGGTAACGCTAGGAATTAGGAGCCCAGTAAGCATTAGCTTGTCTGGAAGCATTCAAGACGTATCTAAAATCTAAGATGCTGCTAGCCCTCTGCGCTCTCACAGCGCCCGCCCCCGCGCTCTCACAGCGCCTAGTCAGGGCTCCTTGCTTCAATCCGCGCTCTCACAGCGCTTCCTCTTCCCTGCGCTCTCACAGCGCTTCCGCCCGCGCTCTCACAGCGCTTATAGTCGGGGCTCCTTGCTGCAATCCGCGCTCTCACAGCGCTTCCTCTTCCCTGCGCTCTCACAGCGATCAGGGTGCCAATTGCGCGAGGATGATGAAGCCGTGCTTGCCTGCGGGACCCTGACAGGACAACCTGGGCTCTGCAAAAGATGGCACCATCCTTGGATCAGACCTGTGCTGGTTGGAATCGGGCTTTCAGGGGGCAACCCCAAAGACTATCATTCCAAATATTTCAATCAAGACTTCATTCATACCCTGAACTATCCCGCTAGCCATTGAAGAAAGGGTCTTACGGTCAGCGGGTACACTGGTACTGCAATGACCCGGCTAGCAGTATGCTACGATAAACCCCCCCAGGATCCCAGAACACACTTGCATTCCTGCGGTGGCAGCATACTGAGGGCACCCAAACATGCCAACGTCTGCTAAACACATGAAGAGCCGAACTATCGACATCATTAGCTGCTCCTATGTGTTCTTGATATGCTGTTTGTTCCTGGGCCTGCTTTCTATCTCTGCTTTTTTGTCCAGAAACCTGATTTCTGATTTATTTTAAAGGTACATTGATAACTGAAACAGAAGGAAATCGTGTTCTTCGTTTTATACCTTGGTGCAGACTGCTGTCGAGATGTCTTTGGCGTTATATTTACAACAGCACACAAAAAAGCTACAAATTCAGGCACTAGAAAGCAGAACCCAGAAAACGCCAACCGCTGTGAAAAATAACAGCTTTAAGCGCTTTAAAGAATATGTTTTCCCTGTTTCCCCCTAGCCGCTGGGGCTTGTTGTCTTAGAATTCCCGCACATTCCCGACCCCGACACACGCCCGGATTAAAAAGAAAATCCTCTAACAAGCGGGCAGGTGTTAGGCAGGTTCTGCTCGATCATTAAGTTCAAGCTTCAGACAGCAACATATTCATAGTTAGGTGATTATGGATGGGGGGGGCTTCAGTCGAAGGCTGCTGTCATCTGACCTCCACAGAGATAAATGTGCGTAAGTTGTGGTCACCTTCCAGGGTTACGGGCGTAGGGTGAGGAGGCTCGAAATAACTTAAGGTGTAAGTTTGAAAATAAGTAAGACCCGCTTTCAAGTAACAGCTGAGGCCACCTGTGAGATTTGATTTTGCTAAACATGAAAATTTGCATCCTATTCCAATCAAATGCACATTCATGCTGGAAACGCTCGGGCCGAAGGACAATGCAGGTTTGGAACGTTCAAGTGAAACGGCTTTGTTGGTTTCAGAAGTTTCCAAACAACACATCACACCCTTGTCTCTCGCCAAAGGAAACCTATTTCTGTATGCTCAAATGGTCTGGCAGCGACAGGACTTTAACGAAGTCCGTTTCCTTTGTACTCCAAACCACGGATTTCAATTGGGCACAGTATCATGTACAATAGGGCCTTTCGGCGTCTTTTTCATCAAACTAAGTCATAGAACCGGTGGCGACGTCATTTTTTCAATTGGGTCAGGCACACACACACACAGAACAGAGCACGAAGGATGGACGTTGCCCCTGTACAAGCCACAAGAACCGCACAGGCCCAAAGCACAAAGCACAATGCTAAGCACCGGCCAGTCTTTCCCACTCATTCCTGAGAAGAGTCCATAAAAGTTCGGGCTGATTCCATAAAAGATCGGGCTGATGCACCTTTTCCCGCACAACACACTCAACAGCAAAGGATCCTAGCATCAATGTCTCTGCGTAGTGGCAACTACTTCCTATACAAGCACGTGTAGGAACAAAATATGACCCAACAGCATCCCATCCAAGAATTGTCTGTGAATCTTCAATTTGGAGACTGGAGCTAGGCTTACGCCGGAGAAATTGCATGGCCTTGGTGACGTAGGTTTCCGTCTTACGGGGGTACGTCGAGACATTGGCAGTCCCAAAGTCGAGAATCCTCCAAGAAAGCCATGTCTGGAGGTTTTAGGGCTTAGGGGTTTTAGGGTTTTAGGGTTTAGGGGTTTTAGGGTTTAGGGGCTTCGGGTTACTATCGTCATCCCGACCATCTTAGGCATCAGAGCAGAGCAAAAGCAAACTCGCAACCGTTCGAAGCCCCGCTGCCTCTCTAAGAGGAGGAGGAAAAGAAGGACGAAGAAGTCAATCCCAAGAATGCCGGGGGTGCGTCTTCCAGCAAAAAAAGGGCGGAGGGAGGTTTCGGGCTTAAAGTGTTTTGGGGGCTTAGGGTTTAGGTTTGAGGTTTGAGCGTTTAGGGTAAAGCTCAAACCTACAACAAGACATCAGCACACTCGCGCAGGAAAGCTATCGGTCGCGCCGAACAACAACTATGCAAAATGCTACAAACCATAAACCCCCTATCCTACACACTAACCCCTAAACCCTGAACCCCAAACCCTAACATTCCGGAAAGTTTGGCGGACCCTCCTGCGACTCGGTGCCCTCGGCGCGTCGCCGCCATGGCGGTGTCACTGGCGATCATGGGGGGATCTTCAACGGGATCTATAGGGGCTCCCTTAAAGGGATCCACAAGTAAGGGCTCATGGGAGGTTCTTAAGCGAAGGCTGAGGATTTAGGGTTGGGTTTAGGGTTGAGGGTTTGGGGAGAGGTTTTGAGGCTGACGGGGTTTAGGGTTTAGGGTTTAGGGCTTAGGGTTTAGGGCTTAGGGTTGAGGGTTGAGGGCTTTGGGCTTAGGGATGAGAGTTTGCATTGAAACTTGGTGGCACACAGGCTCGAATCTCCAAGCCCCGGCAAAGCTTGTAAGAAGCGGCCCTATGCCCCAGACCCTGGAAGGGACACACAGATTCAGGGCAGAAGCAGAGGATATAGAGCAGGCGAGCAAAGGAGAGTAAACGACACCAACAAGAGAAATTAAAGGAAGCTCTGCACGCTAAACCCTCAACCCTGAACAGGATGGATACAAGAGCAGGAGCAGGAGGAGGCAGCATGGCCGACCGGCAGTTCCTTGCACTGCAAGTCTCCAACTATCCCGAGTAGGAATCATTTTGCGCTTGAAGGGTTGACGGTTCAGGGTTTTAAGTTTGTGGCTTAGAGTGTAAGGTTTTGGATTACTGGGCAAACTCAGCTCATCCAGACGGAAATGGACGGAATCGATGGAAATCGATCGTACAGTGTGGCCGAAGTCTAATTCGCAAAAGGATTCTGTCTAACGCCCGTTTGTCGCGGTTTGCCAGGTTGAAGGACTCCGGGATTGCTACTGTAACTTGTTGACACGACACTGTAGGGCTCCGAAGGCATAAGGCCTGGCATGGTTCAGAGCCTCAGGAATACTGATGTGCTGTCCAATCCCTCCATGGCCCGTTGTTCCGGTACGCAATGGTACGGCCACCTCCACCCTAAACCCTGACACCCTTAAACCTTACACCAGCTGATCTCTTGCAGGGCTCTCTTTCCACACACAGTCTTGCACCAGCCGGAGCAAGACTATTTTGTCGCACATCTCATGGCTAGTGGTGCTTCAGAGGGCGGCCCCCAGCCTGGCAAGCAGCGGCGAAAAAGGCTCGGATTGAATAAGAACAGAATAGATGATAATAGAAATCCGAAGAAGAAACGCGATGGTGACAACAATGCGAAAAAATTAAACACTAAACAATAAACGAAAAACAAACAGCAAATAATAAAATATGGAACTGTAATAAGAATAGTGGTGGTAATCAGAATACATATACGAATGGTAATTATGATATTGCTAACAATCAAAAACAGCCACGCAATATTAACCATAATGCTGATACGAAAAATAGGAAAAGTCATACCAACTATATTGAGGTTAACATAGAATAACAACTATAACAACAACCATAATCATAAGAATAATAACGAATACGGACACGAATACTATAACAGAAGCGATCCCGATTACTAATACTACTACTAGTACCAATACCAATACTAACACTAGTACTAATACTCATACTCATACTCATACTCATACCAATACTGTATCTAGTACTCATACTCATACTACAACTAACACGAGTACAACTACGAATATTAGATCGAATACTACTGTACGGCTGATGCTTATAGGCTTATACTAATATATCAACCCGACCCCATGCAACCCTGCCACTCAGCACTTCCAGCCCAGTCCCTGCTTCCAAGAGCATGCAGCTGCACCCCTCATGAACCGGAAGATCCGCCCCCAGTCCCCTCACATAGTATTAGTAATAGTAATAGTAATAGTAATAGTAATAGGTCCTGACCTGTTGCAGCAGCTCCAGGCATTTTTGATGGGATCTGTCCATTGCCAAGTCAGCCGGCGTCTTGCCCTGGTCGTTGACAGCATTCACATCCACGCCCGCCTGCACAGGGTGCCGGGGCCCCTGAAACCTGGAGACGACGGAGGACGTCACAAAGCTGGGAGTGGGATGAGTGGAGAAGACTAATACTAATAGCAACAATAATATTTGTCATATCAATAGTAGCACTACTGCTATTGATAATAATGACAATAATAATCGTGGAAAGCCCGAAAGCCCCGTCGCCTCGATCAGGACCCTCAGCGCGTCGACATGGCCATGCACGGCGGCCAAGTGCGCGGGCGTGTCTCCTTCTTCTTCAACTTCGTTCGCCGACTGCAGATCGGCGCCGGCCTCGCGGACGCGATGCGAAAAAAGTCGCATGAAACCTTCTGCGCTCAGCCTTCACGGCGCCCTGGGCGGCTTACAAGGCACCTACAAGGCACCTTGCGGAAGTACTCTCCTGATGAGGAGGCCGAACCCCAAAAAGGCAGCCAGAAAAGCCCCGAAGTGCCGAAGTTGTGGTGACCCTAAACCCTAAACCGTGGCTCTGGCCTCACGCAGAACCTCCAGCGCCTTTGCGTGGCCATTCATGGCTGCCCAAGAGGCGGGCGTGATGCCAAAGCTGTCCCGGACACTGAGGTTCACACCGACCTCAGCGAGGAAAACCTAAACCCTAAAACCTAGCGGGGCTTTCCCAGCCGGATTGAGCCTCGTCGAAGTACCGCAGCACCTCTGCGTGGCCTTCGCTGGCTGCCGCTTCGACCGGAAGGGATCCATGCCCGTCCGGCACGCTGAGGTTGACACCAACCTCAAAGCAATCAAAACTTGGAGGGCCAGGGATTCAGAGAGGCGCTGAGGAGTCGGATCGCCTCGTCGTGCAAGTACCGCAGTGCCTCAACATGGCCGCTCTCCGCGGCAATGTACGCCGCGGTTTGCTTCGAAGTCCCCAGCACCGGGGCCACAAGGAGGTCGGTGCCGGCCTCAACGGAACTGCGAATATGCCTCTCCTATTTGCAGAGGAGACAGGGCACACTACGGTTGATGATATAAACCCTGCATGACCCATAATAAGGAATATACCATAAATCCCGCAGTTTAGGGTCCTTAAGGTAATGCAGGATTTATATCATCAACCGTATCCCCACCACACTACTGCGAAACCCGACAAAGAAGCCCTCAGGGCCTCGTGGAACGCCGCAAGCTCCGTCACGTCGCCCTCCTTTGCTGCGCGTATCACCTCCTCTTGGGTCGGTGGCTGCGCACGACGCTTTAGAGGGCGGCCCCCTGCCTGGCAAACAGCGGCGAAGAAAAGCTCATCAAAACATCAGAAAACATGTAATAACATCACCGATAATAACGAACACAACACTAGAACGCTAATGTAATCTAACTTAATTTAATACACCATAATGTAAATAGGAATAATACTATTTGTAGTAGTAGTTATAACAATATTTATGATATCAATACTAACAATGAGATTAATGATAAGAATACTGATAATGATAACCATAGTAATCATATGTAAATGAAAATAGAAATAATCAAACCTAAAATCGTGATAATAACAATACTAATGATAATAACAATAATATTTTCATGATCGTAATAACAACGGTAAGAACAGAAATGTAAACAACAATAATAGTATTAGCAGTAATAACAATAGCAACAATAAGAGTAATAATCATATACAATAACGCTCATAATATTCACCAGAAGAGACGACTGCTGCAGGACGAAAGTTTGACCTATTCGTTGTTTCGTCAACCACAGGCCCCCATTCCCTTCAGAATCCTAACGAACGGACCCCACGAGGTACTCCTCCGGAACATATAAACTAGTATAGCTTTAAACGGTGTATAAAATCCTCCGCTGGCCAGGCCACGGAATTAATTCGCACATTTCGCGGCACCCCGCTAGTCCATTAGGACAAGAAAGGCGTTCTTCTGACATAACAATAATGAGAAGAACAAGAGTAAGACTAATCGTAATAACAGTAATAACAACAATAACAACAATAGCAATCACAACAATCTAATAATAGCAACAACAACAATAGTAACATATAGTAACAGCCATATTAGAACGATGACAATAAATCAGAATAACGAGAATACTCATCACGGAACGAGACGGGGGTCTGGAACTGCAGCACGAAAACCCTGCACGACGCATGGAAGGCGAAAGACCTCCGAGGGCTGGAAGCGCCTTTGGGAGAGAAAAATAGCAGTACTGTCAATCCAGCCACATGCAGGGCTTTCAAGTGCATGCAGTTGCGCCCCTCATGAACTGAAACGAAGATCCGCCTCAAACCCGGTCCACCCTCACTCCCCTCCGTGACCTCTCGCAGCAGCTTCAGTGCTTTCTTTCTCTTCTCGGCTTGCGGCTCCCAATAGGAAACTTCCATGGCCAGGTCGGCCGGCGTCTCCTATACTGAACTTAGAACCCTAGCAAAAATTATGATTTTAGCTGTTTCTTAGGGATTATAATAACCAAAAATTAAAAACTATTTCGAATATAATAACCAAAAAGTAAGAATTATTTCTAATATAATAACCAAAAGTTGAAAAAAATATTTCTGAGTACCCCTAAGTCGCTCCCTGCTTGTTGACAGCGTTCAGATCCACGCCCGCCTGAGCAGGGCCGGGCAGGGGGGTGAGATTTGGTGGTTTCCGAAACATTAGGGGTACCTGAGGTACCGTTAAAGGGATCTATAAGGGTTCCTGTAAGGGATCTATAGGGTTTAGGGTTTAGGGTTTGGGAGTTTCCGAAAATAAGGGGTACCTTATTTTGGGGTCCCCCCCCCTTATAATAAGGACTATAGTATTTAGAGTACTATGTTAGGGTCCCCTATTTTCGGAAACTCCCATTTGATGACTGGGAAGTGAGCCCCATCGTGTTGATCAGGACCCCCAGCGCTACACCCTAAAGCCCTAAACCTTAAACCCCAAACATGCCTGAACCCTAAGCTAAACCCCAAACATCCCTAAACCCCGAGCTAGACCCCCAACATCCCTAAACCCCCAAACCCCAAACATCCCTAAACCGTAAGCCTCGCCCGTTCAAAACCCGCCTTGATCAGGACCTTCAGCGCCTCCAGCTTGCCTTCGACTTACCGTTGGTTAGTAGGGAATGGAAGAATGGTAGTAATCGTAGTTATAATTGTACCCCATTCCTCTAAACCCTAAACCCTAAACCCCTAAACCCCTAAGCTCCACAGCTTGCCTTCGAAGGCGGCCTCGTGCACGGGCGAGTCTCCGTACCGTTCGTTCGCCGACTGCAGATCGGCTCCCGCCTCGCGGTTTGGGGGTTCAGGGGTTCAGGGGTTTACGGGCTTAGGGTTTAGGGGTTTAGGGTTTAGGGGTTTAGGGTTTAGGGGTTTAGGCGTTTAGGGTTTAGGGTTTAAGGATTTAGGGGTTTAGGGTTTAGGGTTTAAGGATTTAGGGGTTTAGGGTTTAGTGGTTTAGGGGTTTGGGGTTTGGGGGTTTGGGGGTTTAGGGGTTCAGGTACTTATTAGTCTTGTTGTGATTTGGAATTCTTCATATTACTATCGTTATCGTAATTCTTTCTTTTAGATAGTGCTAGTAACTATGAAAATTTATCCGGCACCTTGCGGATGAGGTACTCTCCCAAGGAGGAGGCCGAACCCCAAAGAGCTAGAAAATCCCGGAAGCCTCAGCGGAAACCCTCGAACCCAAACCCTAAACTCTAACCCCAAACTCTAACCCCAAACCCTCAACCCTGAATCCAAGCCCAAAACCCCTCTCCTCTATGAGCAACTCAAAGCTCGTACTCTAGGGGCCTTAATAATGGGAGTAGGGTTCCCTGTATAAGGGCAACTATGCGGGATCTATAAGGGTACCATGATATAGGGGCCTTAATAATTCGAGTAGGATTTTGGGGCCCACTAAACTGTAATTAAAATAAGGAAGCAACAAAAGAGTATAGGTAGTTATTTAAGCCCCCACATTAGGGTTTAGGGTTTAGGAAACCGGCGACGATCTGGCCTTTTTCAGCACCTCCAACGCCTTCGCGCTGTCTTTAACTGCTGCCCAACTGGCAGGCGTGTTGCCACCGCGGTCCTTCCCATTGAGGTTGGCACCGACCTAGCGGGGAAATCCCAAACCCTACTTAAAGGATCATGGGACTTAGTAACTAGGGTTATTATAAGGGTAACTATACTTATAACTACTTATAACTCCAATTAGGGTACTTATAACCTTACTTACTAAGTCCCATGATCCTCCAAGTACCCTCAGCCCACTTTCCCAGTCGGATCCGAGCCTTCTGGAGGTACTGGAGCACCTCCACACGGTCTTCGCCGGCTGCCTTATGGGCCGGAGTGACCCCACTTTTGCACGCCGCGCTGAGGTTGACACCAGCCTCCAAGCAGATAAAGCTTGAAAAGGGCCCCCCCTTAGGGAGACGATTATTGGGGGTTATATCGGGGCTACCATAGGGATCCATTCCCCAATTCCCTACTAAGCACCAGACAGTGCCCCAAAGAAAACAGCTCAAAGAGGCGCTGTTGAGTCGGATCGCCTCGTCGTGCAGATACCGCAGCGCCTCCACGTGCCCTTTCTCTGCGGCAAGGAGTGCCGGGGTGTCTCCCCAATCTTTCCCGTTCGCTGGGGCCGCCAGGTCGGTACCGGCCTCAATTTAAAGGATCATGGGACTTAGTAACTAGGGCTATAATAAGGGTAACTATACTTATAACTACTTATGAACCCAATTCAGGTACTTATAACCTTACTCACTAAGTCCCATGATCCTCCAAGAAAAATGACGCAGCGAACCATGCCCATACTTCCGGAAGAAGCCGTTCAGGACAGTTCTACACCACGCAACACCAAAAGGCTACGAGGCTACTGCGAAGCTACAAAGCGGGAGCAAAAGTCGACAGTGGCTTCACTCGCACTTCTCTCCTTTTCGGCTTGCCGGAGTACGACTGCTCTGCAGGTTGAAAGCTGCTCTGTGAAAGTTCCGGGGTCTTTGACCTTCCGGATCGAAAGCTGAAGCAGCGGAGCAGTCGAAAAGCCCGTATCGTTAAGCATTGATAGGTAGAAGAACAGCAAAGTGTACAAAAGCCAGCAGGAAAGCGAAAAGCTGGACTGTATGTGATAGCGGGCTGTGACGTAAGCTCCCTGTGCTGAAAGCAAGCCCCCAAAAGGTGTGGGCGGGCGGGAAAGTTTTAGAAAGCAAGCTGCTGTTGCGTGGTGTATGCTTGAACCCAAGCGGGGCAGCGGGGTAAGAACTGCCGAAACAACCCTGAGTAAACACAGGAACCGTTCAGGACAGTTCTACACCACGCAACACCAAAAGGCTACGAGGCTACTGCGAAGCTACAAAGCGGAAGCAAAAGTCGACAGTGGCTTCACTCGCACTTCTCTCCTTTTCGGCTTGCCGGAGTACGACTGCTCTGCAGGTTGAAAGCTGCTCTGTGAAAGTTCCGGGGTCTTTGACCTTCCGGATCGAAAGCTGAAGCAGCGGAGCAGTCGAAAAGCCCAAGCAAGAAACTGGCAAGCCGAAACCTCGCAAGACGCTCTAGAAGCCAAGTGGAGAAGTGAGGTGAGGAAGCTTCAAAGCATAGCTACTTGCGCTTATTGGAGCCTCGGTTTGTCGGGCCCAATCTGGTGGCTGATGGAAGCTGCCACTTCAAAAAGGTATCAGCTGGAAAGAGTGTCACTTGAAAGCGGATCTGCCAGAACTCAGAGAGGCAAAGCTCAATGCGGTTTGATGGCAGAAACTTGGCCGGAAGTTCTGCGCAGCCGTCCCACCGCGAAAGCAGGTCTGCATCGTCGTTCTTTTCGCCAGCAATGTGGCTGCAGTCCAAAGTGACACCGGTAATGGAGCTCCACATCGAAAGCTTGCGAACGAAAAGATTAAGTGGTACTTTGGAGGTGTAAAGTTTGTTACACACCGATTCAGCGCCACTATTATCGCTCAAAGCTGGTAATTTCAAAGCCAAACGGCCAGAACCATGGGCTTTCCAGAAAGCGAGAAGAACGTAGCACTGTGCCAACGTCTCATAGCTGGAAATGTCCAAGTTGGCGTTAGGCTGCATTGGCAGACCGAGCTCCAGGAAGTCCTGCACGGTATAGCGATGCGAAAACCAAAGCAGGCGGCCACATGGGAGAAGGAGCCATCCCCCGACGCCGCAGTCGTTGCCTTTGCCGAAGGCATCGGCTGCTGATTCCACTGAGCTCGTGGGTGGTGGTCTAAGCGGCCGTGGACGCCAGTCCCTGGAGCTCAAGTGGGCAAAGAAAGAAAGTGTTTCTCTGCTGGATTCTGAGAGGCGTCGCTTGGATGAAGTGGGGTCCGTAACCCGAAGCCACATGCGTTTGGTGCTTACCGGGACCAAAGCGAGATCAGCCTTGCTGTGCAATGTTTTGTGGCGAGCTGACAACAAAGTGGATCCTTCTGAAATGCTGGTGCCCGGCGGTTTACCAGTGAAGCGGAGCTTGTCGTCCAAGTATGTATGAATACCTGGCCAAAGGCATGGGCTGATGCTTACGTTCGTCCCAAGTGGTCTATGCATGTCATCGTAAAGTGTGCACAACCAGGGTCGTAAAGCAGGAAGCCCATGCAGAATCCACTGGAGGAGACCGAGAAGTTTGTCAAGCTGTTTGCGGCTGACAAGTCGGTGCCGAAGGCATTCCTCCACCTGGGAAAGCAGCTTCAAGCGTTTGGCGTCGGGAAGAGTGTAACAGCCGGCATGGAAATCTAACTGCCACCCTATCCAAGTTATAGAAGGGCCCATCTGTAGTTTGCGCCAGCTAAGCGGTATATTGAAGCAGGAGCAGAAAGCCAAAACCAGGGAAGCGCTGAGAGGTAGTGCGCGAGCGTTTTGCCAAAGAAGCAGATCATCTACGTATAACATGAGGACATGGGCTATCCAAATAAGTAGATGTACGCAGCGCACAAAAAAGCCTCCCAAGCGGGCAAACCAGTGGCTTGAAAAAGTGGCCCCGAAGGGACAGACACGGTAAAAGAAGAGGCGGTCCTGCTGTCTGAGGCCAAGCAGACCTCTGTCTTGCTCCCGCACAAGTGATGTTTTGTGCGCTCCCTTAACATCTAAGCTGAAACCGGAAGCGGGCTCCTCATCCTCGCGCGGCGGGAAAGCGGCCTGTATATCCTGGAGGCAAGGTAGGGAGAACTGTTCTGGTACATCGCAGTTCTGGTTGGTGTTGCAAATGCTGTTGTCGATCACCAAGCGGGGAGCGCGGCCTGGAGCTTTAACGATGTTCACCTTACCAACTGCAACACGATCTTTGCCCCACCTTTCGTAAGCGGCCTCCAGACTGGCCATTTCTTCGATGTAGCCGGAGGACACCTCTTCTTCAATAAGCTCCTGAAGCAGGGCAGGATCCGCCTCGGCTCCTTGCCAGTTGCCTTCGCAGATAAGCAGGTCTGCGGAGCTTTCCGTTTCCTCTGCACTGCGGGGACGTAGGGTGTGGCTGCGAGGGATATCCCCATCAAAGCCCGTGGGGACCCCCTTCTGCAAAGCGGGAAATAAAGTTGTGTCTTTGTCCCCCAAGAGGGTGCTCAAGCGCTCAAGTGCCGATAGGCAGTATGGTTGACCCTCCTTGACAGAAAAATCCCAATCCTGAGCTGGGGAGTGAGCGTCCGAAAAGCGTTTAAAGGATCCACGCAGCCACGATGTTTCCTCTTCCGAGAAAAGTGGGCTGTTACTGCCTGCTGCGACATGTTGCTGAAGGCGAAGTGGTATCCTGTGCGAGAGGAGCCAGGACTGCCATTCTTTGCGCAAATCGTGCAAGCTGTCAGACTGGTATCTGGGGCCCATTGACCAGTCCGGCAAGGAGTAGATGCCACCGCCATCCTGTGATGCTGTAGTTGTCGCTGCCCGGGGCTTCTTGGGGATCGAAGAGAGTGCGAAAGCCAAAGAACAAGTTGGAACACTGTGGGAGGGCCGGCGTGACGAGAAAAGTTTAGCCGCCTGCTGAGCAAAGCGGTTTGCTAACTGGGCTGGGTACTCTGCGGTGCGCTGTGACAAAAAGTTGCCAAGCTCGTCCCTGACGCCGGCCACAGAAGGATGACCCTCCGAATGAGAGCATGTACCTGCCAAGGCTCGCATATCATCGAAGCTGCATGCTAAAAGCCAAGATTTGGCTATGTTCTGGCCAACTGAGCACGCCGGGATGTTGACCAGTGAAGCCTGTATCTCAGCAAGCATGTCCTGTACGAATGGTTCAAGCCAAGACATCGCGTTCGTGGGCTGTTCCAGAGATACATGTGCACCTGAGTTGAAAGCGGCCCGAAGCAGGCATACACAGCGATACAGAAGCTTCTGGCTGCTTACCACGCGTTCCTGCTGTGAAGCTGTATTGCCCGGCAACCCGTTGAGATGTTCCGGGGATCGGATAGCAGCAGGTCCCCCGGGGCGTAGCTTCAAGCGGGAGTACTCTTTGCATGGCGGAGATCCATGAGCAAAACGTACAATGCCTGAGAAGCATAACCGAAGGAGGTGATCGTACGTGTCGTCGTGCAAGAGGTCCAGCTGCTCCTCACCAAGCAGATCAATGGGCAAACATATGATGCCACATGATGAGATCGCCGTGGTAAGTGGGTGAGAGGCACCACAGCAGATATCTAAGAAGATCTCGACGTGCGTGTTGTCCTTCGGTGAAGAGGGTACAGCCTGAGGAAGTGTTGTAGGTACTGGAGGCAATGGGAACCCCAGTGACCTTAAATGTGCCAGCGACTTCATGTCGAAGCTGTGCAGGTTCCTGCAAGTGTAGGCAGTCAATACCCACCTGTCTCCTTGGATTGGCATCGTACAATGGATGGATTCACAGCTAAAGGAAAGCGGTGAATGCCAGGTGTCGCGCAATTCACCTTTGCTTGCATCTTCCGCTCTGTGGGCCTCGGATGAGGCCTCCAATGGGGCCGGGATGTTGGCAGCAGAGGGGTCCAAAGCTGGGCTAATCCAGATCTCACCTCCGCTGAAATTGCCGAGTGAAACTGTGTGATTGAGTGTTCCTGAAGCGTTGCCAGCATCCGTGTGTAAGCGAGTACGAACGTTGTGACTCACGCACAAGGAGCTCCAAGAGGCACCCGGGAACTGAAGCTGCATGAAAGCGTTCAAGAAACGAAGTACATCGGAAAATTGTTCAGTGCGCTGAAATATCCCCGACCTGGTGCCGTTATCAAAGGAGAAAGCTCCCAGGTTGAAATATGCTCCGGAAGCGTCAATGGCATTGTCGGTGGGGCCTGCGGCATCAATGAAGGGAATGGAAAAGTACTGCGCTAAAAGCTCCAAGCAGGTAGCGAAGTCGAGGGAGCCTTCACTGATTGCCAAAGATGCAATGGATACTGGGGCACCAGCCTTGGGCAGTGCCGAGGTTGCCCCTGCTGAACCTGAAGGTTGAGCAGGCACTGAAAGCGGGACAACTGTGACCTCCTCAGCGATGTCCCGCTGGTCGCTGAAGTGGGTTTCCTAGTGCGGGGTAGCCACATGCTGAGAAGCTGGGTGATTACCCCCGCAAGCGGTGCCGTCACTCTTGGGCACTGCGCATCTGTGCACATAGCGGCACGTGGCTGGGTCCTTGCACTGACCGCTCTGGTAGCGCATGCAAAGAGTCTGGCGCTTGCCATCCATGAAGATGGTTGAAAGCCATTTTCCGGGAGGCGTCACCTGCTTGTTGTCCTTGCCTTTGCCACCTTTGCCGCCTCGCTCGAAGCGCTCTCCCTTCTCGCCTTTGCCATCGCGGCCTTTGCCGCCACGGCCCCCGCCTTTGCCTCCACGACCGTTGCCTTTGGAGCCGGCCTTCCAGCTGTTGTCCGGATCGTGCTTGGGTTTGGGTACGAATGGCCTGGGCGCAAGTAAGCTGTGCAAATCAGAGCGCACCTCCGCCACTTCGTGAAGCGCATCATCTAGCTTCCAATGATGCACATTGACTAAGTCGGCGATGATTTCCCAACATCGGCGATCAGCTGCCTGGGCTTCCATCGTAGTGGGGCCCCGTAGGTTGGCGGAGGCCTCGTATTTGGTGAAGCAAATGCGGGTGAACTTTTTGTTGTAGAGTTTCAGGGAGCCTAGGTGTGCCCCCTGGCATAAAGCGATCGCATTCGCAGCAAGTGAGAGAAGCTGTGTCACGAAGCTGAAGGAGGCGGGGCCTTCATGTATATCCCGGGTTGGAGCCTCGTCGAAGAAGAACTCCGCGATGTCAAAGCGGGCCTGTTTCTTGGGCCTGATAAGCAGGCTGTCTTCTTGCGCCCTTGCACTTAAGCGGTACTTCCAGGGAATCCATCGCACTTCCTTTTCTGAAAGCATCTTATTGGTAAGGGCCAACAAGCGGGCGCTCGGAAAGCTCTCGGCATCGAGGAGTTCAGTGGGGTAATCCTCCTCGAACCTTTTCCTAAGCGCTGCAGTGCGTTCGCCGCTGAGTTTTGCCGGCCAAGCCTCCTGCCATGAGCTAGAAAGCGGGACTGCGGCCGGAGCGGTTGGCACAGCTGTTGAAGGCGCTTCTCCAAGCGGGAGAGCAGAACTGGGCGTGGCTTCTAGGGATGCCATGCCCTCCGCCTGCCGGCATTTGGAGAAAAGCAGGCGTAACGACGCTTTAGTGATAAAGCGTTCCGCTGCTTCTGTCACCGCGGCTTCGGTCATAAAGTGGGTGATCAATTCCACTAGCTCGGAAGAAGTTGTGCAAGCACGTGCGTACAAAGCGGTGTCAAACTCCGAAAGCAGAGAGGCCACCGCAGGAGGTACGTTGCAGTCCGACACGAACTGCGAGAAGTCGGACATGTCGAAGAGACCTGAGCGGGATGAATGGCTGATGTAAAGCGGGATGTGAAGAACTCTCAGGCGTGGGCCTCGGAGATGATCGTCCTGCGAGGCACACAACAAAAGCTAGAGGCTTCGAATGTGTACCTGTGGCCTGTCGCGAGGCAGCGAGAGAGGCCCCCGAGCGGGAGAGAGCTGTGCTTGACCCAAGCGGGGGAGACAAGTGATGTCATGTTTCTGAGCGAATCAAAAGCGGAGGCACACTTCGATGCAATTGTCAGAGCTTGCCGCCTATTTTCCAAGCGGGAAGCGGTGCTCGAGATGACTGGCTTACGAAAGCCGAGCTCCAGCGGGCTCACAAGCCCAGCGGGGTCGCCCGTGTACAAATTGGGTCGACCCAAAAGTGGGCGATTCAGTGCCGAAGCTTGAAAAGTGGGGGGCAGCGTGGATTTCACTGATGTTGCCATGCCCGTCCAGACCAGTTCCAGGAGCTCCAAGCGGGCGAGTCCTCCCAAGCGGTCTGGCTCTGGCCCCACTCATCTTGGCCGTGGTTCCACTGCGAAGTGGCCTCCTGGCGCTCACGCCCACGAGCGCGTTTGCAGTCTCTGCATAAGTGGTTCACGTGGAAGCTGTTGGATCTGTCGCTGAATGTCGCCTGACAGTGTCCCTGAGCGCATTGGGAACACTGGCGGCGGCATGCCCACAATTGAACCAGCTGCAAAGTGGCCCGGCCTTCGCTATCATAGATAGTGTGTCCCAAGCGGGAGGCTGGGGCGTCACTAGCGAGAAGCGGGGCTATCTCGCGCTGTGGTGTTGAAGCGGGCGGCTGTTGCCCTGTGTTTCCCGAGCTTCCGCCCAGGTTCCCCTCCTCCACAAGCGGCGGTGGCGGGGCCTTGGAAGCGGGAGGGGCGCTGGGCGTAGCCGCCGGGGGTGTAGTGGCCACCGAAGCGGGTGGAGCGGGCGTAGCCATGCTCTTCGACTTCAGCAGCGGTACCCCGGCCTTTGGGGTGGTCGACGCCAAAGCGGGCGACGAAGGAGGTCGCGGCGGCGGTTCCTTGACCTCGGGTTCACGTTGCCAGCGTTTGCGTGACCCCGTCACCTGTGGCCTCGGCATTGGCCTCTTCACCGGTGGCTGCTTTAGGCTCCGCTGGTGCCTCCAAAGTGGGTGCAGCAGGCGAGGGAGAAGACGTAAAAGCGGCCGGTGTCCCGTAATCTTCGGCAGCGATAGAGTCCCCGATGGGGTCGATCACGGTGCTCGAAGCAGGCTGCTCCGAAGGTGCTGCTGCCAAAGCGGGTGCCGGCGTTGTGGAAGGAAGAAGCGGGTCTCCTTCCATTCGCTTCAAAAAGTGGGCCCTCTCAGCCTCGTTCATGCTTTTGAGGAGGCTGAACACGTAGTCGGGGGACAACTTGGCCATGACCCACGCTGGAAGTAAAGCGGGATTATGTTTCATAAGCTGATCTCGAGCAAGAGCTTATGGAATAACATGTCACACGCGCGAAAAACAGGCTGTAGCACAAAGTCATGACCCAGAGGTGCAAGATGTATCGCTGTATTTCTCGGGAGACGCTCAAGCTACCTCCAAAGATGCTATGATGCATGCCCGCCGCTTACATAAGCGAGATTCAGGCGGAAAATGCACAAAAGCGGAAAATTCTGAGATGCATCCACAAGCGGGGTGACATCGAACCTGGCATTGGGCATCCTTGCACGCCAAGCAGGTCATGCGGGAGCCGGGGTGGGAAATGCTGAGGTGTGCCACCCCGGATGCTCCGAGCAGATACCGCACCTCCCTGCAGTTTGTGCGGGAGGTTTGAAAAGATGGAGCTTCAAGCGGCTGCTCCTCATGTGACACACTAAGCCCCTCGCTCTTTGCATCTTGCCATGTGGGGTCGACCTCCAAAGTGGATGCGACCATCGCTGAAGGGCGAGCCGGGCCTGCATCATCGGCATCTGAGTCCTCGAAGTGGTCGACCTGCGCCCGGGCGCGAACGCAAGAGGGAAGTTTGGGGCCTGACCGTGTAATCGTTGAGCATGACTCTCGGGCTTCGCGAAGTTCGCCGTCCTGTTGTTCCAGGGCAAGGAATGATTGGAAATCACTGCCAAGCGAGAAACATGTAAGTTCCGGGATGAAGGCGTCCCATTGGAACCCCGCCGTCTCGAAAGAGGGCTCGGCAAGCGGTGATTGTCCACCTCGGTGTTGCGGCCTGGCAGGACGGAAGCCGGAGTGGATCGACCGCCACAAAAGAAGCTGCGCTCTCAGGGCTGGCCATACGTCGTCCCGTGAATAAAGCTGGGCAGAGCCAGGGGTTTTATGATGTCCCTGGAGAAAGCGGGACGCCAGTGGGATAGAAAGCTGAGACATCCACGAAAGGAAGGTCGTCTTCAAACTGTGAAGCGTATATTGAGAAGCTTGGTGCTGCTCTATCCCTGAAAGCGTCAGCCAGTGGCGCAACTTCTGAAGGGCCTGTGAATAAGTGGCCGGAGCAAAGCCTGCATCACTTAAGAGGAAAAACATGCAATCTGGTTCCGGCTGGGCCCCAAAGCGGGAGCGGAGGTCGGACCAAACCTTGTCCAATGCTCCCAACCAGCGGGGGAGCCAAGTCAGCCCCCATTCCTCAGAGGACGAAAAGGGGCCGAAGCTGAGAAGACCAAAGGGGCATCCGCCTTTGGTGGTCTTAGTTCTGTAGCATATTCCCCGTAAAGTGAAATGGCTCACACAAAGTGAGCTCCAGCGGACGTGCTGGGCGTCCGCGAAGCGGAGGCTCGCACCGATTGCCACCAAGAACGACCCCGCCCAGATGGTGTCCATCAAGCTGGCTGTGCCTGAAAGCAGGGTGCGCTCAAGGAAGGCCACAAAAGAAAGCGGCAGTGGTATGCTCTCTCGTTTCTCCTGGCCAGACGGATTGGAGAGGAGACTGAAAGCTGTGCCGTACAGGTCTGGGAGGCATGCAAGTGAAAGAAGCTTCTTGTACCAGCGCAGCGCCTTGAGCACATTGATGCTGTTGGAAAGGGGGCCTGTTTCGGAGCCTCGAGATAAAGCGAAGAAAGCATCAAGGAAGAGACCTTGGTCGATGGACTCCATGTTGCCACCCAGCTCCTCAAAGGCACAAAAGAAAAGCTGGACTGAGCGAAGGTAGCGGGCCGCCGTGGTGTCACTCACCTTGCTGAGAAGCCGAGACTTGATCACTGCGCCCTCGCGACTCCCTGAAAGCTGTTGCAGCACCTCGCTGTAGGCACCATGCGATGCACAAAGCTGGTCGAAAAGTACCTTGTTGCGTTCATCGCACGCCTGATGATTATCCTTGCTGGTGACCAAGCCGGCGATCGGCTCACGAAAGGCAGGCGGGTGTAACTCTGAAGGTGCTCGCAAAGCTGTTGTTGAGGGCTGAACTGGTCTCGGCGTTGCCAGGGAAAGCGATACCTGAACAGGAGAAGGCTGCTGCATGGGGTAGACCGCGTAAGCCGAAGCGTCCTGAAAGTGCGGCAGTGCCTTCGCCGTCGGGAAGATCTGGGATGTAGACTGCTGCACAGGCACGGCTTTAGGGGCTTGCCGCGGAGTGGGGAAGGGAGCGCAGGGGCGGAGCCGAGCAACTGTAGGCTGGCGCCCGTTGTGCCCCACCTGAAAAGGGGAATTGTATCGCAAGCACACCCTGGGAGCCCGCCAAGTGGGTGCCTTCGGAGTAGCAGGCAAGCTGGGTCTAGGAGGGGTGGATTGCAATGGCATAAGCAGAAATGTCGAAGTTTCTGAAGGCCACCCATGAAAGGATGCATTCTCGGGCACCGGCTGGTTCTGCTCTATAAGCTGCCAGGATTGATCACCGCTGGATGCACCTGGGCTGTTTTCCATAGGTAGGGGAGGAGTCACCGGGGCACAATGTGCTTGGTGAAGCCAGCGGCGTCGAAGCTTACTCCTGGGTTCAAAAGCTTCCTCTGCATCTGAGTCAGCAACCTCAAAAGTGGGTGCTGGAGCTGGAGGCTGTGGATTAGGGTCTGTTGGATCTGCAAAATCAGCAAAGTGGTTGCGAAAAGAATCCCTCAGCTCCAAAGCTTCTTCAGCAGAGCAGAAAGGTGAAGAATCAGCCAGGAGAATATCCGTAGCCACCCTGCTAGAAGGCAAAGCTGGCGCATCACCACCAGACTGTGCAGAAGAGGCCATGGCTAAAACCAGATCCTGAGGCGCGCCACCGTCTCTGACAGCGTTTCGCGAAGCAGGGTCACGAGTGACCTGACCTTAATAGCCAGTTTCTGAGTGGCCTCCTCCAAAGCTGTAGTCCTGTCAGACAAGTGGAGAAGCCAGCCGCGACCTTGATGAAGCTGGTCCTCCAAGCGTTGGACCCTGCCGTGTAAGCGGGAAATTTCCGCTCGATGAGCCGCACTTTCAGCTTCCAAGTCGTAAACCCTATCACAGAGACTCCTGACGTCGTCGGTAAGGCAGGCTTCAAGCAAGCGAAGATCAAACTGCCGGACGTCCCTGTCGAGTTCACGCAAAACTGCTTGTAGCTGGGAGCTATGCGGCGCAGGCTCAAGGTCCATGCAAAGCTGGAGGCTACAGCGTGTTGTCTTAAAGCTGCTGAGAAGTAGTCCTGAAAGCTCAAGACCTAAGCAGAAAGCACATGCAAAGCTGAAAGCTGAGCTAAAGTTTTAGAAAGCAAGCTGCTGTTGCGTGGTGTATGCTTGAACCCAAGCGGGGCAGCGGGGTAAGAACTTCCGAAACAACCCTGAGTAAACACAGGAACCTTAACTTACTCCTGGTTCATGTTAACGGATTGCATTTGAGTTGCCATCATAAGGAACCAAATGTCTTACCACAGATCCTTGTTCTGGTAGCTTAAGTTAAATCCCTTAGCAACTTAGCAAGAACCCTACGGTACAGGAGGCTTACTAGTCTGAATTTGGGGTATATTCACGCAGAGGAGTATATTCCCGAATCGCGTGGCATTGGCTAAGCAGCACAGTTCCGCCACAATCGTTTTTCGCCAGCCCCGGCACGCTGTTGTTGGCAGGCCACGTTGGGCAAGCCGTGTGAGGCACTGCGAAGCCCAAACGACCTCATTCTTACAGCTGGGCAAGCAGCTGTAAGAAGAAGGCCGCCAGCAAGCTCCAAGAAGAGGGCAGGGCGGGAGGGCAAACTTGAGCAACAGCGCAAAGACGAAGAGCTCCACAAGCAGCTTAAGTAGTCAAGCAGCACAGTTCCGCCACAATCGTTTTTCGCCAGCCCCGGCACGCTGTTGTTGGCAGGCCACGTTGGGCAAGCCGTGTGAGGCACTGCGAAGCCCAAACGACCTCATTCTTACAGCTGGGCAAGCAGCTGTAAGAAGAAGGCCGCCAGCAAGCTCCACAATTCCCTCGCTGAAGCCAGAAAAGAAAACCGTCCCACCCTCGCAGTTGCTCAAGAAGAAGGTCGGGGGCCCTGGAGCAGGTAGTACCACGCGCTCCGGGGGATACTGTTCTGCTCGAAGAAAGTGACTCGGCGGAGGATCTCGGTGAAGTCACCTGCCAGGGCCTCGACGCGAGCTCGAACCTCAGCCGGCAAGGCCGGCAGGAAGGTGATCGCAACAACCTCTTGCAAATATATATCCATAACCCGTAAGGACAACCAACGTCCCCTGCGACGAACCAGTTCAGAGTTCTCCGTTAAGCCCAGCATCCAGGTGGCGCCCCCTGGGCGGAAAGAGCTCAGGTCGAAGACAGCTTTTCCATCGCTGACCAGTCCGACCCTTTCCTGTAGCTGTTCAAGGCGGCGCCTGAATGTCGCAGCAGATTGCCTCCAAAGCATCGTCGAGGGCGGCAGTGGCCCCAATATAACATCAGCAAGGTGGATGATGTCAGAAGGGTCCACCCGGGCACTCTGATGCCCCTCGTCTTAGGGTTCCTGATCGTGATCAGAGCATGGCTGGTTCCAGGAGAGGAGTCTCTAGGCAGTATCAGGTCAGACCTCCTAGCAGCAAGGATTTCCCCAGGGCGGAGTAGCCCCAGGCCAAGGCGGCAGCCATCAGAGCCAAAAGGATGCCCACGGGCATCGCCTTGTGGTGGCAGTGGGGTTCCTCAGTGAGTTAGGCAAAGGCCAAATCCCAAGCATAAGACAAGCCTCTCCGCAGCGAGGGCTTGAGTGAGGCAACGCCATTGATCGTCTCGCTGTACTTATAATAAGGCTGCCCCGCCCGGAAAAGAGCCTGGCCGTAAGCTACCAGTAGACCAGCAACGCGTTCAGCAGCATTCTCTGAGAGGAAGGCTGCCTCAAGAGTGATGCCCTGATGTTCCAGAAGCCAACTCTCAAAAGCAGCGATCAGCTTTGCGCGGTTGCTCCTCGTGACTGGTCTGACGACGCGGTCGGCGATCAGCAGAATGGGCTCACGACGCCGTGCGCGGTCCAGCTCAGCAGGAGTCGATGGTGCTATGGTCGCAATGGCTACGGCTACGCCTACGACTACGAACTTAAGGGAAGCCCAGCCCTCACCAGGGAAGCCAAGAGTGGAATCGAAGTCCAACGGGAAATGAAGCAGCGCTAAAGTCCACGGCAAAAGGAGAAAGGGCTCAACTGCAAGCCAAAGGCAGGAGCCAGCACACGAAAGAGGTGCAAAGGAAAGGGGTGGCTCGACCACAAGTCCAAAGGAGTGGGAGCCTGCACACGGGAGAGGAGAAAAGTAACCCATGGGGCTGGAAGGAGAAAGAAGCATGAAGGGCAGCTCGGGGCCCTCACCAGGATACCCAAGAGTGCTGTCGAAGTCCAAAGGGAAATGGGCAGCGGCAGCAACAACGAGGAAAAGGCGAACCCAAGAGGCCAGGGGCCGCCGAAGGCGAGAGGCGGAAAGAGCATGCCAAGCCCCGAGAGACAATGCCTCGTGAAGCTTGCCACCGGCAGGGGCGCGCAAAGGTGCGAAGCGCGTCGGATCATCAGCTATGTTCAGCCTGGTAGGGGCGAAGCCGTAGGAAAAGTAGAGGCCGAAGGCAACTTGCAGGCTCGTGGACCTCTTGAGGGCGTAGCGTAGCCCAAAGCAAGTGAGGTCGACCTCCCTTTCGCAGCGGCACTTTTTGCGACCTGAGAATCGACTAGGATGACGACCCGAGAGTCAGCTGACTTAATGGCGAGGCGCCGGTGAAGAGCGACGACAGAGGCAAGCTCGAGCACATTGATGTGGGAATTTCCTCGCCAAGGCAGTACTGCCTCTACCTCCCACCTGCCGCTAGCAAGGAGGTCATTGACGCAAATAGACTCTATCCCTGGCCGGGGCGCGGAGCAGCACCGTGTGAGGAGGGTCCGGCTGAAACAGCGCCGAAGCTCAGCACCGAGCACTTCACCACAGGCAGGGTCCAAAGGCAAGACAGCACCGGGCGGCTGACTGGCGGTCGCAGCAAAGGCGGCAAGAAGGCTGATGTCGCAACCCAGGCCGAGGCAAAACACGGTGCCAGGCAAGCTATCACCCAGGAGGCGACGGTCAAGGTGCATGAGCTCAGCACGAGGCCCAGCGGCGAGTCTGGTGAGGGCAGGGGTCAATGGCTGAGGGCAGCTTCCAAAGCTCGACAGGATGGTGGGGACACCGGCGGCCCCAGCGACCTTAGAGAAGGCAAGCATCCGTTTCCACATTCCCTCGGCCCCTGTCTGCACAGCTTCCGCATGGTGCACGCAAGAGCAGGCCTCGGAGGCATTTGGCCTCGAGCGCAGCATCCAGCCAAGCGGCAAAGGAGGGCGAACGGGGCTCATAATGACGCGAGTTGGCCGGGCAAAAGTGCGGCCCCAAGTCCAGGCCCTCCTTCAGACCCGGCCCCCCAAGTAGCGACCGACAGCAGCCAACCTCAGCAACATCAAGCTGGAATGGCACGGAGGGCCGAGGGCTGGGTTCACGTGGCCCATCTCCTAGATCCTCATCCTCAGGTTGGACACCGGCTGCTTTCAGCAACGCAGCAGGGCCCTCCTCAAGCCTAGTGTAGGCCCCTCGGCGGTCGCCGTTCTGCCAAAGGCTGCGGGCAACAGGCCCATCAACGGTACAGCTGCAGATGGCCCCTCTGGCCAGGGAGGCATCAGTGGCATAGATGCATGGCGACTGCTCTGCGGTCAGGTCGGCGGCAGCGAAGGGAGAAAGGACAGAGGAAAGCACCAGTTCCTCGGAGGCGGGCAGCTCGAAGGCTCAGAGCGGCAAGGGCAGTCCGGGGGGCTGCCGCGGTCACCAGGCCAGAAGTGACAACGCAAGGCCGCGAGTCGATCTCGGTGCCAATGGCCTTGAAGAGGCGAGGCACCGATAACATCCTTCTCAGGAGACCCCTGCACACCATGCCGAGTGTAAGCCTGGTCTGCCTTTGCCTGGAGGTCTCTGGCACGAGAGGGCCCAGCCGACGGGGCAGAAGCAGGGAGGACGCTCAAAGACACGAGGTCATCTATGACCAGAGCTTGCACAGTGTCCCCCAGCGGAAAGGCGGCCCGGTTTAGCAACCTGCTACCTCCAGGCAAAGCCCCACAACTCTCAAGTAAAGCCTCATGAGCAGCCAAGGCGAACTCCACTCCTTGGAAGAGTGAGAGGAAGCAGGGAGTCCACGTGCAGAGTGGCCGGGTAGGATCACACAACAGGGCGCGAGGCTTCAACAACCGGCTGGGCTCAGGGACTTCGGCCCATGGGTAATCGAAGGCAAGGGCGTTCGTAGCAGCCCGTTCTTCAGTAATCCCAAACTGGTGGTAGAAATCCTTCCTATCTGAGCAGTAGCCGGTCACTGCGCACCGAAAGCGAGGGACCTCAAGGGCAGTCAAGAGGAAGCCAGGTGGCAACCTGCAGCTAGGTCCTGTGAGGTGTCGCTCGCTGGCATTCGGGAGACGGCGGTCGCCGATCTGTCTATCCCGTGTCAGGTCCTTAAAGGAGTTAAAGACCCTACAGCGCATGCTGCAAGGAGGCGGACCAGGAAGGATGCCCAGCTGGCCGCGAGTCGACCAGAGCTTTGCCAGCTTTAAGTTTTCCTCCCGGTCTTCTAGGCTGAAGTCTGGCAAGTCAAGGTGGCTGATGTCCCTCCCATGAAGCAGGCAGCCCGGCTCAACAAAGGGCAGCCAGAGCAATCCTTGGATCCAGCGCTCAGCCGGCCAGAAAGCTTCAGCCTATCAGTGCAGAGCGGGCGGTAAGGCTGGAAGGTCCGGTGCAGCAACACGGGGGATGGCACCGTGGGGCAGAGAGGAGCACGAAGGATCAGCAGCACGCCTCGGCTCGGCCAAGAAGGCAGGTGAGGGGTCAAAGGAGGATCCAGGCTCGGGTGTGGAGCCGGGGGCAGAAGAGAAGGCCCCAGCAGAAGGAGAAAGAGCAGACCCAAAGCTTGAGAGTCCAGAACCACATTGGGCAAAGGTCCCAGCAAAGGCCTCGAGGTCTCAAAGAGACAAGCAAGGTTTTCGGGCCCAGAGCGGCCCGGTGGAAGAGGGAAACCCTCAGGCCGAGAGTCACACGCGACTAGGAACCTCCAGGCGGGCATATACCTCCTTCGTGGTGCACAAAAGCCATGCAAAAGAAGTCCGGGACCGTGCGACCGACCGAGGGAGGGCGGCTGCCCACTCACGAAAAGTCACCTCGAATTGGTTGCGGAGCTGAGAGGGATTAGGGGAACCAGGCAGGCTTATTAAACCTTCAAAGGTGGCGCCTAGGGAACCTGAGGGAGTAGGGGCGTCGGGGAAAGAGGCAGGTGGCTCAAAGGCATCCCACGCAGCTGTCCCGTGTGCCAAAGCAGGGGCCCCAGGTGCCAACTTTCCGGCCGGCCGAGCTGATGTTGGCAGCCTCAGGGGCCGAGGCCGGAAGCGGTAGTGTACAGGAGGCGCCGGAGGCACCAGAAGAATGCAGTCCCGCCGTGGGGGCCTGAGGGGGCAGCAGCTTCACTGTGTGGCCTTTTTGCGTGGAGGCCGGCGGGGCTTTGAACGGGAGGTCTCCTCGCCCTCGTCCTGGTTGGCGCCGGTTGGCGCGGTCGGCTGGCCTTTCCTCATCTCGGCACGCTTGCTCTGTATTGTGTCTAGTTCCTTTATGTATGCTAGAACCACTGCAACCCACCGTTGCGACGCCAGGGGCGCAAAGGCCCGGGTATGCAGGCTCGTGCGGTTGCTTCGGGCAGCAAACATTGCGCTCGGGGGATCCTCCAGCCACGTGAGCTGAAAGCCAAGCTCGGACCGTCCGGCGTCCATTGACATTTGCTCTAAACACACAGCAAGCAGCGCGGCATGATCTGAGGCCTGCTCGGTCCTTCCCGCCTGCATGCAGTCGAGGATTTGGGCAACGCGTGCTATTGCTCCCAGAGCAAAGCCTCCGAAGCGTTCCCAGTACCTGGATAGGCACACACCGTTCTGGAGAAGCTCGTGAGGATCGGCGGATCCGTCGGGCCATGTTCTGGAGGACAGAGGCAAAGAAGGAGCCCCGCCCGGCTGCAAGTTCTTCTTGCATCCTGGCCCGCTGGCCGGCGCCACGAGCGCTCAAGGAAGAAGTGCCTGCTGCTAGCTCCAGCACAGAGTCCCCGGAGCTCCCGGCCAGCTACGCGACCAATGTGGTCAGTGCCTTTGACTGCTCCAGAACCGCTTGTGATAAAGCATCCGGCCTGGGCTGCCCCGATCCAAAATCGGCCTCTGCCTCGTTGGCCTCGGCCTCCGCCAAGCTGGGGCCCGGCTCCACAGTCAAGGAAGGTGCAGCATGATGAGCACGGCCCGTCCGAGGGGGTGGGCCCAGCAAGCTCAGAGCCTGGCCTCCTTGCTTCGGTCTGTCACCCAGGCCGAGTGCACCACTGAGTGGGGCTGTTGGCCCCGCTGACAGCTGCTTCTCCATGGCAGCCACATCCTCCACCGACTTCACCAGGGCAGGCAAGGAGTCGGTGAAGGTCTGAATCTGGCTCGCTAAGGTTGCGGTTGTGACCCGAGCCTTTGGTGCAGGCCCTTTGGCCCTGAAGGCGCGCCACCTCCGGATGCTAAGGCCCGCCCGGCCTGGGCGGCGTCCTCCCTGGTCACATGCAAAACGGCCCTCTTTCGAGTAGCTGCCTCTGGCGGTGCTTCCTCGACCGAGTAGTATTGCACACGTTCGCCCGAGCCCTCTCCCTGAGCCCAGTCCAGGGCCAGTTGCAGCATGACAGCGGGGTCTGGGATAGCATCCGGTCGGGAAATATCGAAGGCTATCAACAGCTCCGGTGCCTGGTCCGCGATGCTAAGGTTGGAAGCGAGGTGCGGCTTCCACAGAAAAGTCTACCAGCATAGCAGGGAGGCTGCAGTCGGCAAGGGGCGCAAAAGTTGAGCCCGAAAACTCCAAGGCCGGTGCCTCCACGGAGAAGGAGGGACCGATGACATCGTCCATGTGGGCCAAATGCCCTGCAAGCAGCTCTTCCTGAGCGATGGCTCCCTGAGGCAAGGCTACTGGTGCCCATTGGGACGTTTGGCAAGGATCACAGCGAGACACTCCAAAGTGCCTTCCCCGGCCGGGTGCTCGTCCCGGACGCACACCGAAAGTGACCAAGGTCTCCATCACTGCCGTGGGAGGGGCCAGGCAAGGCCGGCCGCGTCCACGTAGACCTTAGATTCGAGCTCCGACGGGAACGCGTGCGAGACAGATGGGGAGCTGGTCAAGGGGCCCAGAGCGGCCGCAAAAGCCCGGTAAGAAGTGTATAGGGCAGGCTGGGTAGAGCCACCCCCAACGACAGGGTAGAAGCGAGAAGCAAGTTGCAAAGGCTCCGACGGCAAAGGGGCGGCGTATTCGCCAGCAAGCACTCTGCGGGCCCAGCAGCCCGCGCGCCACGCACGGAGGATCCGAGACCTCGGGGTCAGGTTCGCGGTCCCCAGCGAGGAAGCCTGAGAAAGCCAAGCAGGAGGGCACTCAGGGAAGTCACGCTCGACGTCTCGGCGGGAACGCTGAGGCACGGGGGCACTACGGCCCTGCAAGGGAACCTGAGAGGCAGGGACCTGGCGGCTGGAAGGGCTAGGAGGAGACGAGGAAGGCCGCAAGGGGCTAAAGGACAAATCCAGGCGAGGCCGAGCACACGAGCTCGAGGCCGAAGCAGGCACAGCAGGAGGGGAAGAGGCTCCCGAATCGAAGAGCTGAAGGTGCTGAAGCAACCTGGTTGCCTCACCTAAAGGACCCCGAACCGTAACCTCAAGAGGGCCCACGGTAGCAGTCAGAGCCACGCTACTGTTGCTGGTTCCTTGCATCCACGTACTGGCGAAGCCGGAGAGCAGCAGCTGAGACCACGGGGCCTCGGCGGGGAGCAGGAGGATCGGCGGTGTAAGTCCAGATGCACAGCCCGATCCAGAGGAAGAGGAGGGAGGCGAAGAGGAAGCCCAAGAGGAAAGATAGCGCAACGATGGGCAGGCTAGAGGAGCCGCAGTAGAAAGGGCAAGCCAGCCCGAAGAAGTTGCTGGTGAGGCCGAAATGGGCAACCCTCAAAGCAGAACCTAAGTCCATACCCAGCTCTACAAACTTGAGCAACGGCGCAAAGACGAAGAGCTCCACAAGCAGCTTAAGTAGTCAGAGTGGGGCTCTCGACTGGCTAAGCGAGCATTTTGCGCGTCGTGTGCAAGCGGAGTCGGCGTTCAACGTGGAAAAATCGAAAAACACGAAAGAACTACAAAACACTAAAAACTAAAAAAAATACCATTTCTATTACTATTACTATTACTGTTACTAGTACTATTACTATGACCATTACTATGACTATTACTACCACTATTACTATTACTGTTACAATTATTGTTACTGTTACTGTTACTATTACTGTTTCTACTACTATTACCATTACCATTACCATTACCATTACCATTACCATTACAATGACTATGACTATGACTATGACTATGACTATGACTATGACTATTACTATTATTACTATTACTATTACTATTACTATTACTATTACTATTACTGTTACTGTTACTGTTACTGTTACTGTTACTGTTACTATTACTATTACTATTACTATTGCTATTACTATTACTATTACTATTACTATTACTATTACTGTTACTATTACTATTACTATTACCACTACCATTGCCATTACGATTACTATTACTATTACTAATACTATTACCATTACTATTACTATTACCATTACTATTACTATTACACTACTATTACTATTACTATTACTAGTACTAGTAATAGTACTAGTACTAGTACTAGTACTAGTACTAGTACTAATACTATTACTATTACTATTACTATGACTATGACTACAACTAGACTATTACTATTACTATTACTATAACTATGACTATGACTATGACTATGACTATGATTATTACTAATACTAATACTAATACTAATACTAATACTAATACTAATACTATTACTATGACTATGACTATGACTATGACTATGACTATGACTATGACTATTACGATTACGATTACGTTTACGATTACCATTACCATTACCATTACCATTACTATTACTATGACTATGACTATTACTCTTACTCTTACTCTTACTCTTCCTCTTGCTCTTGCTCTTACTCTTACTCTTACTCTTACTCTTACTCTTACTCTTACTCTTACTCTTTCTCTTACTATTACTATTACTATTACTATTACTATTACTATGACTATGACTATGACTATGACTATGACTATGACTATTACTATTACTATTACTATTACTATTACTATTACTATTACTATTACTATTACTATTACTATTACTATTACTATTACTATTACTACTACTACTACTACTACTACTACTACTACTACTACTACTACTACTACTACTACTACTACTACTATTACTATTACTATTACTATTAATATTACCATTACAATTACTATTACTACTACTATTACTATTACTACTTCCTATTACTATTATTACTATTATTATCACTATGACTACGACTATTGCGATTACTATTACTATTACTCTTACTATTACTTTTGCTTTTCCTAATACTCTTACCAGTACTATGACTATTTCTATTGCCATTACCATTACCATTACTGTTATTACTATTCCTATTACTCTTACTCTTTCTCTTACTCACGCTGTTGCTACGATTACTACGAGTATCACTACTACTACTACTACTACCACAACTACTATTACTACTACTACTACTGCTGCTGCTACTACTACTACTACTACTACTACTACTACTACTACTACTACTATTACTACTTCTAATATTATTACTACTACTACTACTGCTGCTACTAGCAGCTTGTTTTTGTCGCGTTTTTTCGCGTTTTTCGCGTTGTTCGCGCTGTTCGTTTTTTTTCGCGTTTTTTGCTGTTTCGCGTTTTTTCGTGTTTGTTCATGTTTTTGTTGCGTTTTTTGCGTTGTTTCGCATTTTCGCGTCTTTCGCGTCCACCTCTGCGCTTCGCTTAGCTGTGACACACAAAGCATTTCCCAGTCGACTGGGGAGCTGCGAAAGAGAAACAAAGCACACATTATAACTATAAACAGGACCCTTAAAAATGGGTACAGTATACTATAGTTATCATGAGGAGCCCCCTCAGATAGTGTAGGTAATTATGAAGGTTGGAAGTTCAGGGGACTTAGTATGTAGGTTACAAGTAGAGTTGTATTTGGGCTACCTCCATTTAGGCTGCTTATAACTCTACTTATAAGATCGTATAAGCTACTTACTGAGTCAGTATAGTAGACCTAGGAAGCCATCAGCGCCTGGAGGTGCTCGGCGAGGGCCACCACGTCGCCCTTCTTCGCTGCATCTTCGACAGACACAGCCAAGGTTGTGGTTGTGGTCGTCGTCGCCACCTTCAGGGCTTAAGGTTTTGGGCTTCGAGTTCCTTTCAAGGGATCTATATGGGTTCTATAGGGGATCTATAGGGCTGTAGGCTTCAAATTTGGGGCCTCCCCCCCACCAAGTCCTGGCTCGCAGGGTGCTATCGGTTTCACGGACCTGGTTCTGAGCTTCTTTTTCCTTACCTCTGGTCAGTAGGGAATGGAGGAACGGGGTACAATTACAACTGCTATTAATACCATTCTTCCATTCCCTACTAACCAAAGGTAAGTTTCGAGGCCGAAACAGCGAGTCAGGTCGAGGGTGTGTCCGGAAACATCTCTGCAGGCCCACTCGGAGTCGCTTACATGTGTCATGGACCATTGGGAAAATGCTGCTGCGCCTTGTGCCTTCGCGTTTGTTCCTATGTCTGTCCCCATTTTTCTCTGCTTTTTTCCTGAATTTCCTCCAGGAGGTGGAAATGAAGGGAGCAAGTACAAGCTTCTCGGATGCTTCCTTTCGCGACAAGCAAGCGGCGGGAGCAGCAGAGATTTGACACGGAAGACTTGGTGTAGAACACCGAACCCAGTCGAAGAAACTGGCTACAAAGGTCCAAACTGAAGCGACATGAAAGGCAACCCTAAACCCTAAGCCCTTACTTCTTTGCATGAGGATTGGGAGCCCAAAGGTTTAGGGTTATAGGGTTTGAAATGTAACTTAAATGAACGAGAGGGTATTTCCAAAAAGCGTCAGCCCGCTTAAAGAAAACTTCTGAAAGTTGTCGAAACATGTTCAGAAATTGCTGAAGCATCCCAATAGCATCCGTAACAGTTACCACACACTCGAAGCCGTCGGAACAGTGACAGTGCTTGTACACGATGGTGGCATTGTTGCATCACCGCGGTTCTAAAATCACTCAACCTACGACCTGGTGGCTTCTTGTTTGCCTCCGGGCACCTTCAAACCTTGCGCTACTCCGCGTGCGCCTCCGCCCCATCCACCGTAGCTGTGGCCAGGTTGACCTGCACGTGCGCCAGGAGGGGGCAACGTAAGAAGCTAAGGCAGAGGACATCAGTGTGTTGGCTTCAGGCTCTTGGAAGGAAACAACAACTAAACCCTAAACCCAAAACCCTAAACCCGACTAGAAAGCATCCGAGAACATGGAGAGGAATCCCGTCCCGGCAGGTTCGATAATATGCACCCCAAGGAATTGAACCACTATGTAGGCAATTGGAACTCTAGGGACAGGAATGCTAATTTTAGCGAAAGCCTCGGGAAACTTCCAAGCCAAGCTTGCGAACCTCAACGCTTCAAGCAGATCACCGCAGCCAGCTAAACACTGCAGATAAGTCCTGGAGCCTGAGCCCATAACAAGGTTACGTCTATAGGGTCATGATGTTCCAACTGTCTTGTAGGCAAAAGCTCCGACGCACTACCATACAATCATATCCGCAAAGGTACTTACTCAGGCTTCTATATGGCTTTTGGTTTTCGAAGGGTCTAAAGATCAGGGGCAATGCTCCAAAGTGGATGCCCGTTGGGGCCTCTGGTCAAGAAGTGAATACTTCAACAAAGGGCAACAAATCTCTGAGAGGGTCCTTGTTCGGAGCAAGCGCCCTTTGGCAGACAAGGTAAGCATCAATTCTTTCGGGGACTTCACCCCCCAATATGGCGATCTTGTATGATCCTTGCAGCGATCCCCAATCACCCTGGCTTCGAAAACATTACCTAAACCCTAAACCCCTAAACCCTGTTTGCGAAAACTCGACTCAAGCACCGCCGTTCGGGCACAGTTTGTTCGGAACTTCATTGCGGTGCCTCGCAGCTGGTGCTCCCCTTGGTCCAGGAGTGCTGGGGGAGCAATACGCACACTCACACAAAGCCAGGCCAGAGAGTCACAACGGCTTTAACCCGAAGACGGCAAAATAGTCCAAGGAGCACGGTGCCAGCACTTCATACTGTGGCTGCTCGACGTGCACTCTGACCCACATTCCTTCGTGGGATCGGCGCGCGAAAGGTCCTGGCACTCATCGGCATACCTCGCAACGTGCAGGGCTTTAGAGCACCTGGAAAGCAACCTGGTGGCATACCGGTGGGGTAGGGGGTTGCTGACAGGCAATGGGGCTTATTCCTTGAGCGCCGGGCAGGCATTATTTGAGAAAGCGCTCAGTTCAAGATTGCACAAGAACAGAACCAGAAACAAAAGACTAGTTGCAAAGCCAGGCGCGTTGTCGCCCAGCGTGATTCGAAAGTTTCTCTCTTGATGCACGCACAGCACGAGCCAACCTGGCTGAAGAACTTGTCAGCTTACAGGGTGTTCCCAGATTCTGAAAAAGAGGACAGAACATCAGTGGCAGGATGGGTATGATCTGGACGACCGCTGAGCAAGCTGCTTATAGCCGAAGCCACAAACCCTAAAACCTAAATCCTAAGTATAAGCAGGAATCCCTAAACCTTCAACTAAGTTCTCTTGCTGAGGTTTGCAGCGGAAGAGTCTTTGATGCTCGCATGGAAAGTGTGGACGGGGCAAAACCCTAAACCCTAAATCCCTAAACCCTACTTGAAGGATCATGGGACTTAGTAACTAGGGTTATCATTAGGGTAACTATACTTATAACTACTTATAACCCCGATCAAAGTACATATAACCTCACGTACTAAGTCCCATGATCCTCCAAGTAAACCCTGAAACCCTTGAGCCGAGGGCATCCAACAGCGAGGCAAGAGTCCAACAAGCATGTCATCATTTGGGGCTCAGGTATTAGGGCTTGGGGTTCAGGTTTTAGGGTTTGGGGTGTAGGATTTCGGGTTCAGGGTTTAGGGGAGTCTGAAGTTTAGGCAAGGTAGTTTCACAAACATCAGGGAGCCCAACATTGTCCCAATGATGAAGTCCTTCCCGTAAGTGTACCTGCGCTGGGAACCCCAATAGTGCCAAACTCACACACAGAAAATGCAGAAGGACAGAGTTGTTGCAAAACAAAAGCTAGAAAGATAGTTTGAGTGAGACAGAGAGAGAGAGAGAGAGAGAGAGAGAGAGAGAAAGCTGGGCGAAGTATGTATGTATGTACGTACGTATGTATGTATGTAAATGTCCATGTGCATGCATATGTGTGTATGTATGTATATATATATATATATATATACATGTCTGTGTGTTCTACATAGACGCACATACAATAGGTTTGAATGCATAGGAAGACAAGAGTAAACACACACACACACGCAGGAATTATAACTATAGAAGCTAGCAGTCAGTCCATCTATCTGCCATACGTTTTCTGTCTATCGATGTGTCTATCTATCTATCTATCTATCTATCTACCCACCTATCTGTCGATGTACCTACTGCAAAGAAACATGCGCATGTACAAACATACGTGCGTACACACGGACATACATGCACACGTACGTGCATAACGAAAACATGGGCTGGATATGGACATGGACATATACAAAGACTGGTACAAATACAAATACCCAGGTACATGTACATGTCTTATTGCACACGGTACACACACACAGAGACAGATACACTGCATTTTGCCCGTAGTGGGCTTGGAGCTGTTGCTTGAGCACCCTTCGCCGGCCTCTTGCGCTGACGGGATCGGTGATCCTGCACAGGGGTGCCCAAAATACATGGCAACGTCGCATCCTCGAAAACTCGACTCTTGCCGTCTCTTCGAGCACCGTTTGTTTGGAAGTTCACATATGCTCAGCTCACATGAGGCCTGGCGGTGCCTCGCAGCTTGTGCTCCCCTTGATCCAGGAGTGGGGGAGCAATACGCGCACTCACACGAAGCAACAGAGTCACAACATTTCGACCCTCAGAAGGCTTTAACCGGAAGACGCAAAAACAATCCAAGGAGCACGGTGCCAGCACATCATGCTATCTTTCTTCGACTCGCAGTCTGAATCACATTCCTTCGTGGGATCTCCGCGTGAAAGGTCCTGGCACTTATCGGCGTACCTCGCAAGGTGCAGGGTTTTAGACTGGAGAGATGCACCTGGAAAGCAACCTGGTGGCATACCGGTGGGGTAGGGGTTGCTGACAGGCAATGGGGCTTATTTTTGAAAGTTGGACAAGCATTGTTTGAGAAAGCGTTCAGGGTTGTACATGAAAAAGCAAATGACCAGTTGCACAGCTAGGCACGTTGTCGCCCAGCGTGATTCGAAGGTTTCTTGGCGGGGGCATGCACAGCACGGGCCAACCTGGTCGAAGAACTTGTCAGCTTACGGGGTGTTCTCAGATTCTGAAAAAGAGGACAGAACATCAGTGGTAGGATGGGTAGAAGCTGGCCGAGCACGACTGAACGAGCCGCACATAGTCTGACTATAAGCAGAACCCCAAACGTTTGCAGCGGAAGAGTCCTTCGGTGCTTGCAGGGCAAGTGGGGACGGGGGACGGTGGTCATGAAACCTTTGAGGAGTGAGGCGAATACTTCGGCGACACGGACAAGCCAACACAAGAGTTCAACATGCAAGTATTTGGGGTTGAGAGTGTCAAACATACACGCACGCCGACACAGCAGAAAAACGGAGATATGAAAATTTCAGAAAGAGCGAGAAAGAGAGAGAGAGAGAGAGAGAGAGAGCGAGAGAGAGAGAGAGAGAGAGATGTGTGTGTGTGTGTAGTATAGTGGTGTAGTGTAAAGTATATATATATGTATATATATATAAATAAATAAATGTTATACATACAACGTGTGAACACACACAAACAAAACAGGCAAGGGTAAACAAGCATACACGGCATTATAACTACACCAGCTAGCTAGCTAGCTAGATAACAATCCATGTATCTGTCTCGCTATCTATCTTTCTATCTGCCGGTAATTACTACAAACTTGCACGCATGCATAAACAACACACATGCAAACATACACACATGCCTGCTGACTGACATACGTGTGTACATACCAGCATACATGCATACTTGGAGGGGCAGGGGACTTAGTAAGTCGTGTATAAGTACGGTTATAATTGAAGTAACTCCATTTAGGGTACTTACAATTTATGGCTCTACTTGACTCTACTTATATCCTACTTACTAAGTCTCCTGCCACTCCAAGTACATAGGTACATACTGACAATATAGACATGGACATAGACATGGACCTTTCCAAGTACAGGTCCACATACACATATACACACATACAGATACAAAACTGCTTGTATGTACGGGGTTCGGAGCTCCAGAATTTGTGCTTGTCACACATCGCTTCCGCGCACTGCACTGGCCTGCATGGAGACACTTTCATTGAGCTCTTCCACTAGTTCAGATGCGGTCCGAACTGATGAAACACGCCCCAACGTAGCCATGGCGATGAAAAGACGAGATGACATCCTCGAACTGGAGAAGTGACGCGCAAACAACAGAGGAGGTCTGGCAAAGTACCATATGCTGGCTTGAGCCGGAGACCTGCGAATAGTCTGTGCTCGTAGTCATAGAAAACAATGGCTTCTAAAAACGGATGCAAAAGCACTTCCCGGTACATGCAACGAGAAGGCAGAGAAGACCTGTCCGTTGCAATCTCTTCCGGGTGGAACATACGTTCTGATCCGTTTCTGTTTAAAGACTTTTAAACTGGCAGGTTCCTGCCTTCTGGCTACCTGTCCCGTCCCAGAACTATATAAAAAGTTTGTGCACAGGTGGATCGACGTGAACTGAACGGGTCTAATCGACAAAGTCTGCTCGCCGTAGTTCAAACTCGCTTTTGAGTACCTGCTCTCGTTTCACTCTGTCCGATTTTGTTGTGTTTCAATGCTAAACTCGACACTGAGCGCGGCAGCCGCCGTCATCGAAGCCCGTCCAAGCCAACAAAAATTTCAGAGTTCAGACTGGAGGGTCCAAGGTTTTGGGTTTGAGATGGTAAGTTCTAAGCTCTAAAAATCCTTCAACCACGTTGCGCCTGTGGGACAAAGTTCCAACGCATCACGAGCAAAACGTCTGGGTCAAGAGTGGAGTCCAAGACCAAGACTGCAGCTGCTGTTTTCTTCCCATCGGACAACGGTCAGCCCCTTTGACACCGTTTCTTCACAGCTGTGCACACCAAAGTCCAAAAGTCCATTGCCTCGGCACAGACGACGGACGTCTCAATCCTAAAAGTTGTTTTCCAAGGAGCACACTCCGCAGGGGGTGGGTCTGGGGTTCGGGTTGAACATTGTTACAACCCCGGAGCTCGCCGGGGGGGGGGGGTCCAACAACCTGAACCTCACGTTCGCAGGTTCTGGTTCAACCCAAGCCGAATCTGAGGTTAGGGTCGGGTTGGACCCAACCTCAACCTGGGGTCGGGGTTGGGGTTCAACCCCAACCCAAAGCCCCAACCCCAGGGGTCCGGAGTTGGGGCTAACCCTAACCCCAACCCCAGAGCCCGGGGTTGGGGTTGGGGTTGGGGCCAGGGTTAACTCTAATTTCGACTTTCCACCCCAGGAAAAAGAAACTCAAACAAAACGCAATCACGAACACAAAAGAAAAAGAAGCCACACGAAATCGCTTTATGGGGTTTTTGCGAAGAAAATAAAATGAGAAAAGAAGAATCAATCAAACAAAACGCGATCACAACTGGAAAGGCTTCCACTGACCCGCCTGCCTTCTGTGGGTGACAACTGTACGTCGACATGACTGCTGCAAGACTGCACATCGCACATGTTGCAAGCCAGGTAAAAGAAATCAATGAGCAAACCTAAAACCTGCCTGGAAAAGGCGAAAGCCAATTGTTTCACTAATCTTGCTGGCTCAGGGGCCCAGCTTTTTGCAGGTACACAAGGGTGATCAGCCCTTGCTTCCCGTCAGATTCCATAGCTTTGTTAGGCACGGTCTGGAATCTGACGCCGTGCCCCCCTGCATCATGCAAAAAGGAGAAAGCGAAAAAAGAAAATAGAGATGCATGAAAAACCTTCATGATTGCAAACCATCGCATGTACAGCAGGATAACACAAACAGGCCCCCAAGGGGGCAAAAAGTGCAGTCTCGTATCGTCACTTCCTGCAGCAATCTATGATCAGAGCACTCACAAGACGTTCCTCAGATCGCATGTCAAAGCGCTGCATTTGTTCCCTTGTCGCATTAACGTGTCAAGTCCCGCTCACACCTTTACAATGGCTGAACAAGGCGACACACATTGAGATCGTCAATGAACGCGGACCCAATACGTAGTCTGTCTTCATTTGGATGGTGAATCCACTCCACCGTTGCATGACGTAATTGGGCGAGACGCCAGAGCTGTTGAACATTGAGAAAGATGCGGTTGCCAATCAACCGAATAACTGAGTAATACCATTCTCTGCATACGGACGCATACACCACGACATGAGGTAGCGCTGGAGCTTCACAAGTAAGTGGCGTATATACACATGGTCCTTGAATGAAAAACTCATACACCTCGGCGCGAAAATCCAGACCTTCTGTTCTGCATTGGGTAACGAATTGCTCAAGATCCTCTGTGGCATAGAATCCATGTCGTCGAAGAGTAACATCCAAAGGCTCAAGCGGGTCTGATGAGGGAAAGGTGAAGAAGAAGATGAGATGACGTCTTGTGCTGACAAATTGCAGCATTTTGTCATTCAACATGGAGAGCTCCCACATGGCACCACAGGGCTTACATCTACTCAAACCTAAGACTTCAAGAAAGCTCGAGCTCACATCCATTACGCAGTGCGACAACGAACTCCCTTGCATCATGCGCTACAATGTCGCTACAATCATTGACCTGCTGCGATCTATGGGCAGAGCACTCACAATACGCTCTTCAGATCGCATGGCAAAACGCTGCATTTGTTCCATTGTCGCATGAACGTCTCAAGTCCAACTCACTGATTCGTGTGGCCATGTTCGTACGAATCGGACTGGCTGGGCAGCGTGTGGAAAAGCAGACACTCGGGAGATCGATGAAGTAAACGGCAAATGGTATCCGAACTGCCATAATTGGAAAGCGTTCAAACGAGGAGGTATCCCCGTGCGTTCCTCAAGTTCCCGACACAGCTTCTTCTTCAAGTCATCAATAGTGGAATCTGCTGGCATCATAATCCAAAAGCTCAACTCACGTCCTCCAGTACATATATCTGGAGGTACAGCTATTGGAATCCGGATCATCGCAGGAGGAGCGGGTAGGGCCGCCATACTTGCCGTCCGTTTCATCTTGTAAATTGAGCCACAAAATACTTCGCATTCTCATGCTGACAGAACAAACAACCGAATCAAGCAACCAAAGGTGAACTCAGAAGAGAGCGCGGCAACTATTTTAGCAAACAAAGACAGCAGTCTTACCTAATGTGACGTGATCCTCCAGGTGAAACAGATGTACTTGATCTTGATTGAGATCGTGAGCGGGATCTCATACGGACTTGCGAGTCACTCAAGGATCTGCTTCGTCGGGCAGCATTGGCACTCTGTTGACGTCTTCGGGGTAATGCATCACGTCGGTGAGGATCCGCTCGAGAAATGTTGGATCCATCATTCATTGTCTGTGCAGCTTCATTGCGATCGAATCCATGAGAAACATCGGAGGAAGAAAAAGAAGGAGAAAACGGGAAACGAACAGGAGCAGGAAGGGAAGCAGGGGGAAGAGGGGGAAAGGAGGGAGGAGGAGGAGGAGGAGGAGGAGGAGGAGGAGGAGGAGGAGGATGAGGAGGGGGAGAA